CGCGACTTACCCGACATCTCAACACAAGACATTCCGATCTAGGCAACAAACCCATTGAATTCTTTATGCGTAAAAGAGATGCACTTAAAGTAGAAAAGAACATTATTTACCAAGCTTCAATCACTGACACTTCACTTCTGATGGCATCCTATTTAATATCACTACAGATAGCTAAATGTAAAAAACCATATTCCATTGGGGAAGAACTCATTAAGCCTTCTTTGACTACTGCTTGTAATGAAGTATTAGGCCAGTCTGCGGCAAGTAAAATGAAAGACATCCCATTGTCGAATGATACAGTTGGTAGGCAGATATTTGATGTGGCAGGAGATACAGAAACGCAAGTCATTGAAAAAATTAAAAAATCGAAATTGTTTGCATTACAACTGGATGAATCTACAGATATTCAGAACAGCAACATTTCACTTGCGTATGTACAATATATTGACCATGATGAGAGTGACACGAAGGAAGACATTTTAAGTGTTTCTGAATTACCTACGCACACTACCAGCAGTGAAATTTTCAAAGTTTTAAATGGTTTCATTGAAGAGAGAGGTCTCAAATGGAAAAATTGCGTTGGAGTTTGCACTGACGGTGCTGTCTTCCAGGTAGAAATTCAGGTTTGGTCACTAAAATTAAGGATATGGCGGGCAATAACTTAGTGTCAACACATTGCTATATTCATAGGCAAAACCTGGCCTCCAAAAAAATGGCACCTGAGCTTAATGAAGTCCTGTCACAATCTGTTAAGATTATTAATTATATTATATATGCTTTAAATACAACCTGTTAAAAGCATTGTGCGATGAAATGGGCTGCGATCATCAAAATCTTCTTTTCCATTCGGAAGTTCGTTTGTTGTCCCGCAGTTAAGTTCTCAAGAGGTTATATGAACTCCGAAAGGAAGTTGAGCTCTTTCTAATTGATAAGAAAGGTAACCTGTCCCGTTATTTTCAGGATNCATAGGCAAAACCTGGCCTCCAAAAAAATGGCACCTGAGCTTAATGAAGTCCTGTCACAATCTGTTAAGATTATTAATTATATTATATATGCTTTAAATACAACCTGTTAAAAGCATTGTGCGATGAAATGGGCTGCGATCATCAAAATCTTCTTTTCCATTCGGAAGTTCGTTTGTTGTCCCGCAGTTAAGTTCTCAAGAGGTTATATGAACTCCGAAAGGAAGTTGAGCTCTTTCTAATTGATAAGAAAGGTAACCTGTCCCGTTATTTTCAGGATAGAAATGGGTAGCCAGGCTGGTGTATCTCAGTGACATATTTTCTTACACGGACGAGTTGAATTTAAAACTTCAAGGTCCAGATACAGCAATATTTGATGCGTGGAACAAGATCGAATCATTCAAAAAGAAACTCAAACTCTGGCTTAATATGACTGCAGAAGGAAACAATGAAATGTTTCAGTTGTACTCAGATTATATTATGGAAACAGATGATTTTTATTTACAGAATTCAGTTTCAGATATTATTGCAGCCCACTTGAAGATGATGATGTCGTTTGAAAAATATTATCCCGAACATGAGGATCCCTGGAGGCAAAATATGTGGATTGTGAACCCTTTTGTTGAACACAAAGAGACAGCCCTTTCCCATTAAGAAACCCTTCAACTTATTGAATTATCATCAGACAAAGGACTGGAAAGTACTTTTAATACTAAGGGTAATTCGAAATTCTGGATAAGAATGAAAAATGAATATCCAAATTTACATGAAATAGCAGTGAGGTTTCTTCTTTGTTTTCCCATCACATATCTATGTGAAACTACATTTTCTGCCATGACTGTTCTTAAAACGAAACAGAGGAACTGTCTGCAACTTTCTGACTGTCTCCATTTGGCTCTCACTTCAGTTCATCCCAGAATTAATAAGCTAACGGACGGAAAACAGAAACATAAGTCTCACTAGCCTAACTAAAACCTTCCAAACTCAGTTGTGATAAAAGAAACTGGCTAGTTTTTATTAAGTGAAACTCCAGAGTAGGTGTTTTTACTTAACTGAGAATGGAAATACATTCATTGACTGAAGCTAATTTTTATTAAGGGAAACGTCTGAGTAGGTGTTTTCACTCAGTTAACTTTCCAATAACTTATAATTGCTGTGTTAAAGTGCTGTGTCTTTAAAATAAAAATATTAATTAGTGTTGGAAGTTGTGTTTAGAATTGGGAGATTCATACATTTTTATTTGTCAAATTACATATTTTACATATATAATTATTTGGCGTGTGTATGTAATAATAAGTGGTTCGCCTGCAAGTTGACATCCTTGTGCTTCTTCCCCTACTCAGCTGACTTCTATGGTGAGTTACAATGCATAAATATTTTTCTCACTGCCGTTTCTTTCAAACCAACATCATTAAAATCAATTTAATAATACAGTAATCAATTTTACGCTGAATAACATAAGTTTTTGGTGATCAGCATTGGATATGTCAATGAAAATTAGCGCACAGTAATTTAATGATGTTGGTCTGAGGAAACTACAAAATGCTACAAGATTTCATTAGTCCAGTGATTGATAACTAATTTAAATGTAATTTTATGTTTGTCAACATGCCACATCGTATACATAAGTGTACTAATACTCTTTATGGTTATGCTATAATTAATTACTAATATTATGTTAGCTTAATGCATGAACTTTAACAAAACTGGAAAGGTATTTACGAGTAAATTTGTTGGGACTGGGTCCTCGTCTTATAAAAAAAAGAACTTACTGGGCCGCGGTCTCATAAAGGTTGAGAACCACTGACGTAAAGGGACTACTTTATTAGGCATAAAATCATGTCGATTGATTTCTTACAGGTCCTTTCATTACCGATAAGCATCATGTGTTTTGCAAATTTAAAGCTTTCGTTTGCATTAATAAACAATATGTTGATAAATAGGGGTCAATTATAGACTCTTGACTGCGAGAAATTTTGTAATCTGAGGTTGTTTAGAGTCGTATGAGGTGGGAAGATGGTCAGGAATGGTCAATGGATAGGACTATTGAAGGGGATGGCAGTGGCTTATTGTGATAGAGAGACTAAGGAAAACCACGAAAATAGAGTAGCTCATAAACTAACCAAGATACCAGGCAAGTTGTTTCATGTGGTGGTGTTCTCTGAGTGGCATCCAGAAAGTGCCTGGTTCGAATCTCAGCTGGGACACCGAGTATCCTGACTCAGATTTTCACGATTTTCCTCATTCCATCCACACAAGTTAGGCCACAGCAGCTTCGTTCCACATTCTTTCCAATTCGTTATTCACTGTGAACTGGGCACCTCACATTCTCTAATTCAGGTGTGATTCATCCACAGAACTTGCTTCATATAATTTAATTAATGAAATATTAAAGGCTTTGAATAATAAAATACCAGTTGGAAGCATTTTTTGTGACCTAAATGAAGCCTTTGATTGTGTTAATCATGATGTTCTATTTAAGATTTGAGGCTTTCACGGCGGTGACTATGAAGAAAGCGGTCTTCTGGGATTTGGTCTGCTTTACCGTTTCTCACGGTGTTGTCGCTTGCAGATTTCTTATACTTTTTCTTCTACCCTGAAGATGGGGGCGATACGTTCCTCCGAAACGTCGGTTAACACCACATATACACGGTGCCAAATCCCAGAAGACTGCTTTCTTCATGATGTTCTATTATCTAAATTGAAGTTTTATGGAATAGTAGGAAAAGCTAATGCGTTGCTGGAATCCTACCTTCATGGTATACATCAAAGAGTTGTAACTAATGAGAAGTGCACTCACTCAAGTTGGGGTAAGATTGTCAATGGTGTTCCCCAGGGATCGATCTTAGGTCCCTTATTGTTTCTGTTATGATACGCAAAATATTCTCTTCGCGGATGATACCAATGTTATTGTTAAGAACTTTAATCGTACTGAGTATGAAAACGAACTAAATTTAATATTCAAAAATATAAATGAATGGTTCAAGGCTAACTTACTGACACTGAATCGCGATAAAACGCATTTTATGTATTTCTCAACCAAGAATAAGTAATACAATGGACATACCTGTCATTTATAGTAACAGTGAAATTGCTATATTAAGTTGCTCGGGCTGATGACTGATAGTACCCTATCATGGAAAGGCCACATTGACTGGCTCATGTCCAAACTGGGTTCAGCTTTCTATGCAGTTTGGGCTATTAAACCATATGTGTCATTAGAATCAATGAGATCGGTATATTTCCCATATTTTCATTCTATTATGACATATGGCCTGACTTTCTGGGGTAATTCGCCCCTCTGCATCCATATCTTTGGACTACAGAAGAGGGTAATAAGAGTCATCACCAATTCTAGAAGTAGAGATTCTTGTAGGGAGTTGTTTAAGAGACTAAAATGTCTGCCCTTTACTCACAGTACATTTTTTCCATTTTGTTATTTGTGATCAAAAACAAAGATCTATTTTTATCTAATTCTGAGATTCATACAGTCAACACAAGACATAGCAGTAACCTCCATTATCCCTCATGTAACTTAACTGTCTTTCAAAAGGGAACATATTACACGTATTTTGGAATAACAATTTTTAATAAACTTTCACCTAATAAAAAGACAAAGCTCATGAGATTAAAAAATTTAGGTCTGCTGTTAAAAGATTCCTATTTTTAAATTAATTTTATTCATTTGACGAATATTTTAACTGTGACAACAATTAAAGTTTTGAATTTCTTAAGGGTGGTAGTTGATAGCGCTTTATTGTTATAGTTGATGGTTTTTGTTCATGCTGTGTATTGTTAATATTTTTATATGGCTTACTGCTATGACATTAGACAATTGTGATACAGTATGTGATCATGTTTACTCATGTTGACTATTTCTATATCCATTGGTGTTTAACCATATAAGGATTTATGGAATGCTAAATAAATGAATGAATGAATCTCTACATCCACATGCACAGTGGAATTCCTCAAGTATGTAACACAACAGGTAAGGCAGTAATCAAAAGTTATCAACAATGTCGATCTCTGCTGCAGGTGCTGTTCTTTTGTTGGGAAGCGTGGCAATGGACCACAGGCAATTTCTATTGGGAAGAACTGTGACAAATTTGGCATCGTGGTGCATGAGCTGGGTCACGTGGTTGGCTTCTGGCATGAGCACACACGCCCTGACCGTGACGATCACGTCCAGATCGTACGTGAGAACATAATGACTGGTGAGACACAGCCATTTGGCGCACAGAAATTACTTACAGATGAGGCAGGAAGGGGTGAGACAGTCGTTATCTGGGTCTCTTATAACAATCATGGTGGTGATGATATAAGAGTGAAGAACACTGGTGAAATGATAACGGTTAAGGTAAAAACCTTAAATACCTGGAGAAAATCCTATCCAAATAACATGTGATCCACTACATGTCCCATGTGGACTAACCTGGGATTGAACTTGAGCTACTGCAGTGAGAACTTAGTGACCGTCTCAGCTATAGCACAGCAATGTTCATTATATATAGCATATAACTTTTTTGATTTTCAAGGACCTGGTGATCTAGAGTTATTGTACTAGATTTCCGAACCAAGGATCTGCCAACCAAGCCAAGTTCAGGCTGAACTTCAGCTCTTGGCATGGTAGAGTGTTCTGTGAATCTGTCTCTATTAATTCTCTTCATATCTTAAGTATATGCATAAAAGTAACACAATACAGTAAATTTACAATTTCATTCAACGATGTGTATGAAAACAAGCCATCTTTCATGACATGAATTATGCTGATTACAAAAATAGCAGCTAAAATCATAACACTCTTCCATTCTATTACACTTTATTTTTCATGTACAGGACATGAATCTAGTCATGTCTCATTATGCATTTTCTTAAAATGACATTATTTAAATGAGAATAAACTTTGCTAATAAAACAACAAAGGAGAAAATATGTGCAAATACATTGCACATATTTTCTCATATAGAGTTGCCCATGACAATGTTATCACAGAAACAAAACCAGTCACTTCTTGATGGACTGTTTTTGAGAACAACAACGAAAACCATCTGATTGGTAAAGCCAGTTCTGACAAAATCAACATTTCCAATTTTGGCCTCAAATACATGTGAATTAGTTTGCCATTATTAAGTTTTAATTATGGAGATCATTTACAAAATTTTCCAAAATATAATCAAAATAATTAGAGCCATTTTCAAGAAAATCGCCATTTTTGTTTCAGGCTCATTTGAGGGGCCTCTGTTTTTATAGCTGGAATGTTTATATTCACCATGCACCAACCTATGCTGGATGAACTTTTGAATGCTGAATATGAATAAAATATGTCCAACCATTCAGGCACTAGGGCATGTTCAACCCTACAAATATATATATATAAATATATACATACATACATACATACATACATACATACATACATACATACATACATACATACATACATACTAACAGACAGATAGATGATGTACGAAAAATCACTTTTTTGTGTTTAGGTTATCAGAGAACATATAATCCATCCAAATCTCAAGGTAATTTTTTTTCTCTATTGCAGTATTTTCTCTTGTATACAAATCATACGAGAAAGTAAAAATACTACATGAAACAGGCACCCAGTTTTGGCTAAGTACTCAGTCAATTAAATCACGGTGTGATAGATAATTGTTGTGTTGATTAATCAGCATTAAAAAATTATTTAAAACTTACTTTTCTTCATGTTACTCTAACCTAACATAATTTATGTCATTTTTCTGTGAAGTTACTGCAAAAGTAAATGATAAATAAGACATTCATATGGCACTGTTGTACCTTTCTCTAACACGTGTATCATTATTTCAAGGGATAATACAGTTTATTGCTTCTGTGAAATTACCTTTACTGTCAAACCCGAAGAACTACTTTAGAGTGACAATCCATTGTTTTTGGTGTTTTCCGGAAGGCCAGGAGTACAACTTCAACAAGCTGACAGATGAAGAAGTGAATTCCCTGGGTCTGCCTTATGACTATGACTCCATCATGCATTATGCACGTAACACTTTTTCCAAGGTTTGTTACAAGGAGATAGCAAAGTTGTATTTATAAGTAGAACCTACCTTGTGTAACTATTTAATGTTAATGGGGTGATGGAATATTCATTTTTAAAATAAACTGTTAAATTTTGCTATCATCTATATATTAATTGTATGTATTTTGCTGTTATCAGACCAATTAGTTTATTTGTCCCCCTGTACAGTATGCTGTAGTAATTTAAGATAGAAGCGATATTTAATTTATACTACAACATGCTATCTTAGATGTGAAGTGGATTAATGGAAATAAATCAACTGTGAAGGCTGTGTAGTCTTCACTTATTTAGAGTATAACACGGGAGCTATACAAGTGTCACTGAATTACACACTCCCAATACCTTCTCAGTTATCACAAACTCTCACTGATTATCACACATAAAATCTTCTGATCTCATTTAGTTCATCATGGACTTATTGCAGGTAATTATACTGTAATATGTGAACGTCTTGAAATAATTAACAGGACACTATAAAAATTACCTAAGAAATAGATTTCCATAACTCCTCGCATGCTGCCATACTTGTGTCTGACTTTAGTGTATTTGTATATTAATGTCCTGACATTGTGTTAGGGCACATACCTGGACACAATCCTACCACGTGAGAGGTATGCCAATAAGAGACGCCCAGAGATTGGACAACGAATCAGATTGAGTGAAGGGGACATTGCTCAAACTAATCTACTATACAAATGCTTCCGTAAGTAAACTCTTGGTTCATCTGGAGAGCAATAATTAATGCATTTATGTCAAAATCTTCAGAGTTGATTTAAATTTTAAAAGTAATGGTAAAGTTATCTTTTGTTACTAAGTTACTCTTTGCATGTTGTATGTTTATAATGAAGTTTCAGTGCCAGAAAACTATTTTAATTCATTCTCAGAAACTGTTTCTGCAGGACATAAACAATCTTAAGTTTCTTGGTTGCTAAATAAAGATTTTAGTATGCAAAGCCAAATAAAAACATGGTTATAATTATGCAAATTTTACTCATAACAGTTCTTTATTGGCCTTAATGTTAATTTATTGCAAATAGAAATACAAATATATTACTGAAGATACCAGATTTATTTCAGAGCCGATCATAGAAATTGTTGGTAATACTAATATACGCATGTTGTTTCTGTTGTATATGTTGGTAATACTTATATACACATGTCGTACAATCTGACCACATGGCTGTCCCAGTATGGTTCCAGGCAGTGTGGTGGTGAGTTGGTTTTTGTATGCGCACGTGCACGCTAGTGCGTATACCAGATGATATTACTGGATGTAAAAGTGGAAGTGTGTGGATCAAGAAATAAAAACTACAGAAAATAAACGAAAGGTTTTACAACAGGTTATGGGCCCAGGACTCTTCCACTGTGCGTAGTATATAATTAACTGAAGAGTTGTGGATATTCTTGAGTATTATCAAAGATGTCGAATCCAACTGCAACCTTGCCACCGATTGAAAAGCTGGACGGTCGTTTAAATTATTCTGATTGGAAATTCGGAATGATGCTTTATCTCAAAGACTTGGGCATTTGGAACAGTGTAAATGGATACCCTACAGGAGATACTACGACCGAAACACAGAAGACCCAGCATGATGCAACGGCCCTAATAAAGATTGGCCTCATGGTCAAGCCCACTTGTTATCCTATCATTCGTGATGCAGAAACAGCCAAATCTGCGTGGGAAAAGCTTTCTGTAGCTTTTGAGGATGATGGCCTGAATCGAAGATGTCAGTTATTGCGCAAACTGGGACAATTGAGGTTAGAACAGTTTAAAAACTTGACTGAGTATACTCATGCTTTTGTGGACATTGCTGATAAGCTGCGGTCAATGAAGAAACCTCTTGATGACGAATTCGTAGCGGCAATGATGTTGGCAAATTTGCCTGATAGGTTTGAACCAATGAGACAAACCTATGATAATTGTGGTATAACAATTTCTACTGACTTGATTTCCAGAAAATTGCAAGAGTATGATGACACGAACTTACATAGTAAAGAAGATGTGGCTCTTCTGTCTCATGGAAAGGAAAGGTTTCCAAGAAAACCTAAGTGTTGGTTGTGTGGTGAAATTGGCCATGTACGGATGGACTGCCCCAAGAAAGTGCAGAATTCCTCGAAACAGGGAACTAAGAAGAGTTTTTCAAAGCAAGAGGACAAGATGTCAGCTAAGAAAGAGAAGACATCTCGTCGCGAGAATTCCTACTTCGCAGCACGGACATTGGAGACCAATGATGATTCTAGTTGGTATGTCGACTCAGGGGCTACTTCTCATTTGACATCTCGACTGGATTGGTTTAAGAAAGAGAAGGAGATGACTGGAGTAGAAGTGTTCACTACGGGAACAAATAAATTAGAATGTCTAGGATCTGGCTCTGTTCGGGTAAAGTTTAAGAATGATGACTCTATTTCAAATATTAGTAGTGTACTGTATGTTCCAGAAGCCAGAACAAACTTGTTGTCAGTGAGTAAATTGGTTGATAAAGGACATGTTGTTGTGTTTGAGGAATCTGGTTGTAGGATTTATAGTAAACATAATATGTCTATTAAAGGTAATGTTCTAGGTACTGCATCTAAGGTTGGGAATCTGTTCAAAATGGATGTGGAGGAGATGGAACGGGTCAACCTGGCAAAAACTGATAAAGATGAAAATTATCAGCTCTGGCACAAGAGGTTAGGTCATATTAATCCAACCAGTATGAAGATAGCTAAAAATGGAGTATGTGAAGGTATTTGTTTTAATGACACTGTACCGGATACATGTATATCTTGTATAAAAGGCAAGTTTGCAAAGAAACCATTTAGGGCACGTAAGAGTAAAGCAAAAGGATTACTGGACGTAATCCACTCAGATTTATGTGGACCTATGGAAGTTGAGTCCTGGAATGGAGCTAAGTATATTCTTACCTTTACTGATGAATTCTCTAGAAAGGTTTTTGTATATTTCATAAAGTCTAAGAGTGAAGTGTTTACTGTTTTTTGTAATTTCAAGGCTCTTGTTGAGAATCAAGTTGGGAAGACTATTAAAGCCCTACGAACTGATAATGGTGGGGAATATATTTCTAAACATTTCTCTGATTATCTTGAGCAAAATGGGATAGAGCATCATGTGACAGTACCTTATAATCCTCAACAAAATGGATTAGCCGAAAGGGTTAATCGTAGTCTTTGTGAGATGGCCAGATGTCTGATGAGTGAAGCAAAGTGTAATAAGCGAATGTGGGCAGAAGCCATCAATACGGCAACTTACATTAAAAATAGGGTTCCACACAAAGCTTTGATAAATAAGACGCCACAGGAATGCTGGTCTGGGGAAAAGACTAATGTATCCCATTTTAAAGTATTTGGATGTGTGGCATACATGCATGTACCAAAGGAAAATAGGCTTAAATGGGATTCTAAATCGAAGGGGATGTGTTTTGTAGGATACTGTGAGAAGTCTGGAAACTACAGACTGATTGATCTGTCCAACCCTAAATCGGTAATATTTGCACGAGATGTCATTTTCTTGGAAAATGTAAGGGCTAGTGTAGATGAAGAGAATGTAAATGCATCTACTGATTTCATCAAGCCTAGCTATTTTGGGTCTGAGATCTCTGATAGTGGGGATCAACCTGATGCAGAAAAAGTATTAGATGACTCTACTGTAAATCTGAATGAGAGTGATCATACTCCGGTTGCATCTGTATTAAGTGATGCTGAAACTGATGATGTACTTGCAGTTCCTGTACAACAGGTTGAGAATGAACCAGGTACAATGATGAGGGTTAGACGCCCACCATTGTGGTTGCAGGATTATGAAACTAATTTCATGACTGTTGAAAGTTTTGTTGACAACTGTCCAGATTCATATTCAAGTGCTGTTAGAGGACCTGATAAAAATAATTGGAAAAGGGCAATGAAAGAGGAGTATGATGCACTCATTCAGAATAATACATGGAATCTAGTAGAGCTGCCCAAAGGTAAGAAAGCTATCTCATGTAAGTGGGTGTATGTAGTTAAAAAGGACTTACAGAGTGATCCCAAATACAAGGCACGCTTAGTTGCTAGAGGTTTTTCTCAAATTGATGGGATTGACTATAATGAGACTTATTCACCAGTTTTTGGAAGGTCTGTAATAAGATTTTTGTTAGCCTTGACTGTTGAGTTAAATTTGAAGATGTATAGTCTTGATATTTGCACAGCCTTCTTGAATGGAGAATTAGAAGAAGAAATATACATGACTCAGCCTGAGGGTTTTACTGTTGAAGGATTGGAAAATAAAGTTTGTCTATTAAACAAAGCTTTGTATGGATTGAAGCAAGCTTCACGTACATGGAATACTACTATTACTAAAGAGTTGGTAACTCTTGGTTATGAAGTTTCTGTTAATGAGCCATGTATGTTTTACAGAAAGATGGATGATTCATTTACTGTTTTAGCATTATATGTTGATGATTTCTTAATTGTAACCAATGATATCTCTGAAAAAGAAAGACTTGTAAAGAAACTAGGATCTAAGTTCAGATTAAAAGATCTTGGAGAAACTAAGTACTTGTTAGGTATGAGAATTAGGAAAAGGAATGGAAGTATTTATGTAGATCAAGAGGAATACATATGCAAGATACTGGAAAAGTTTGCCATGATAAACTGTAAAAATGTATCTACACCTCTTCCTACTGGTTGTAAGCTAGACAGAAACAATTCTGATAAGTTAAGTGAGATTTTCTCTTATCAAAGTTTGGTTGGCTGCCTCAATTACTTAGCTCTTATAGCAAGACCTGACATTGCTTTTGCAGCCAGTTTCCTAGGTCAATACAATTCTTGTGCCACGGCTGAACATTGGAAATGTGCCAAGCATGTATTGCGTTATCTAAGAAAAACTAAGGACCTGTGTTTGGTGTATTCTAAGACAGGAAAATCCATTGTTGGGTACTCTGACTCAGATTATGCTAATGGAGAAGATAGGAAGTCTTACTCGGGAAACATTTTTGAATTAGCAAATGGACCTATTTCTTGGGAGGCAAAGAAGCAGAAAAGTGTTGCACTTTCTACTACTGAGTCTGAATATATTGCTCTAAGTGAGGCTTGTAAGAAGGGTGTCTTTCTCAGAAAAATGTTGATGGAACTATTAAATGATGACTCTCCAATTTTGATGAATGTTGACAATCAAAGTTGTATCAAGTTAGCCTCAAATCCAGTATTTCATTCCAGATGTAAACACATCGATGTACGATATCATTATGTAAGAGAGGTAGTACAGAATGGATTGATTGATCTTGAATATGTGCCTACAGAAATTATGAAGGCCGATATAATGACGAAGAGTTTACCTAAGGTGAAGCATGAATATTTGCTAGATGCATTGGGCATGAAACCTTTTGATTGTATAAATTGAATTTATGTGCCCATGTGATTGTACCATAATATTTTGGTTATTATTATTATTTAATTTACATGCTGTGATTACGGGGGAATGTTGATAATACTAATATACGCATGTTGTTTCTGTTGTATATGTTGGTAATACTTATATATGCGTGTCGTACAATCTGACCACATGGCTGTCCCAGTATGGTTCCAGGCAGTGTGGTGGTAAATTGGTTTTTCGTATGCGCACGTGCACGCTAGTGCGTATACCAGATGATATTACTGGATGTAAAAGTGGAAGTGTGTGGATCAAGAAATAAAAACTACAGAAAATAAACAAAAGGTTTTACAACATAAATCACACTGTAAGGAGACACAATTCTTTTTATGCTTCAATAAATATTATCTCTATTGAAAAATGTGTATATCAAGATGAGATTTATATTTTGTCCCATTCCATTATCTGTTTTTTGAGAAGCATATAAAGTTTGGTTTGGACTGCACGTAAAAATAGTGGTTATATTCACCAAAAAACTTCAGTTGTAAATCTTACAAACTAGTTTTCCTCAAAGCCTATCAAGTAATTTTAAAGAGAGAGACATGGTGTCATCAGTAAGGTTTCATATTTGTATTTCATGAAGACACTATTTAGAATGAAAAATTTTGCTGAAATATTTGTATATGACTGAGTAACTATCTCCAAGGACCTGAGTTCTTTTTTCACAAACAACTAGTTGCTCACCCACACAAGAAATTCCCAGTATTTTATGGAAAACAAGGGTTTATTACTGTGTTCAGTTCTCTCTGTCCGGAGCCAGATGAATTCAGTCCACATCTTCCCATCCTATTTATTTAATATCCATTTTAATATTATCTTCCAACCTATGCCAAGGTCTTCCATGTAGTCTGTTTCTCTCATGTTTTTTTGTAGCAAAACTTTGTGTGCACTTCTTTCTCTTACATGGTACATAACTTACCCATTGAATCAGTACAAATAATGAAGCTCCTCAATATGCAGTTTTCTCCTGCCTCGTCTTGCTTCATCCAAAGATTTGTACATAAATACACGTATAAATAATTTTTTTTAATATCTCAAAAAAAATAATGTTACTGCTTGTAGATCACAGCTACTAACAAAGAGAGAAAGAAAAAATAAAGATATTGGCACAAAGAATTGGTATACAATAGATACATCCATACAATACTGTCTCTAGGATAAGCATTAAAATGAATGCTGTACAGTGTTTCAAGTACATGATTAAGCTAACACTATGTGGACAACATGAAAGACCTTCATTTAACTCAAGTTGAAATTCAAGGATTGAAAGAAGAATTACAGGAATAGAGTTAATTATAAATGTATACAACTATTTGATTATTCATGTAACCAACACTTTTTCAACTGCTTCGGTTATGTAGCATGAAATGAAATTGTGATTGTGAGTACTGAACTCAAAACGGTGAGGGAGGAAGTGATCATGACCAATCTTAATGTACTATCTTAGTACAGGACTTGAAGGGCTAAGGAAAACTACAGGAATCCCTTAGTCAAGATAATGGCTCTGGCCCAGATTCAAACTCAGCTTGGTAAAACCCCCATTTAATGTTTTCCCATATTTAAATTTCAGTACTCAATGTTTCAGGTTGTGGAAGGACATATCAAGAGAATTCAGCCACATTCTCATCACCATCACATCCCAATTCAAGTCCACCAGTAGAGGGTGAACGCTGTGAATGGCGTATCACAGCTACACATGGAGAGCGTATCGTGCTCAATATCACTGAAATGGACATCTATGAAAGTGACAACTGCCGCACTGATTACATCGAGGTTCGCGATGGCTACTGGCACAGATCACCTCTCCTTGGTGCGTGAACCTACCATTGCTGCTTCTTGCAATTTTCTCAGTTTATTATAGTGGTTCCAGCTGAAGTGACCTGCTAGTTACTTGTGTTTACAGGACGATACTGTGGTAGTAATCGCGTCAATATCCCAGTCATCTCAAATGGGAGTCGAATGTTAGTGACCTACATAACATCCACTCGCCAGAATGGCCATCGTGGATTTACAGCAAATTATGAAGGTAAATTAAACTACTTTTAACAAGCAAACTTGAATGCATCTTGCTTCCAAAGGTTCAGCACCCTTGCTTCATATTTGTGAGGTTTTGAAATGAAATCTTTGGTCAAAAGGCCAGGTTTCCTGTTCAAGGCTCTCTTGATTTTTGCAGCCCCTTAAAGCACATGATGAATCAGTATTGTGACATGATAACTGATGAAGGCTACAATATAATATTATTGTCCCTGTGATTAATTAAGTAATTAAGTAAGATGCTGGCACTGGATGGGAGTGAGTGGTCATATTTGTGTCCCAGCTGCTTTACCCCAAAGAAAGGAGCTCCTGGTATCAATTATACAGGATGCTGTGTGGGCCCCAGTGCCAGTCTGGACACTATGGGGAAGAGAAAAATCTCTTTCCCCTGCCAGGAATAAAACCCCTGCCATCCAGCCTGTAGCCCATTGCTGTACCAACTGAGCTATCTCAGCTGTCTTAAAAGACTGTTACTAATGCAGTATTTTATAAAATGCATGAGAATTTACCATACATTGGTAACAGAAATAATAAACTGATCTGTTCGGTATAAAAACAAATAAAACTCTAGTTAACTACGTGATATAGGTTCTTCCTTTGAGTACTTGATAATTATTTTGATGGTCACCAAATATCCTGTTTTATAAAGTAGATGTAGGGTTGCAGACTATGTTGATTTGTTTTATATCTTGGTATCTATGTTTTAAACAATTGGAGCAGTATTCATGTTTTACCATGATCTTCTTGGTAGCTGTATGTGGAGGTCACTTGATGATGGATGAAGGTCATCTGGAGTCTCCCAATTACCCAGATGATTATCAGGCCAACAAGGAGTGCATATGGAAACTCACTGTGCCAGAAACATACCAAGTGGCTCTAAAATTTGAATCATTTGAGGTATATGTCTAATAATAATTTCTGGGAATCTGCTTCATTATTTTCATGACGAATCGCTGATTTGTTATATTCTTGTGACATCTGAGGTCCCTATGTTGGTGAACAGGAAGATTTATGTGTTCTGCGATGTGATACCACGTGATCAAGTAGATATTTACTAACATTTTGGAGGAACATGTTACTTCCTTCTTCAGGGGAGATGAAGGTAGCATGTTCTCTGAAACATTGGTTAACATCTGTTAGACTGCGTGGCACCATATTTCAGAAGACAGTAATCTTATTTACATTATTGATTTGTGTAACTCTTTGAGTTCAAATGCTGGACAAATTTGACATAGCAAACTTCTGAGTTAATTTGTAGTTAACTGGTAAGTTAATAGTTAAAAACTTAGTTTCTTTAAAATTCTATCTTCAACATTTCAGATGATAATGACAATTTTAGTTAACATAAATACAAATGGAATTAGTCCTTGCTGATGCTCTGGCCACCTTTCACTTCAGAGAAAAAGCCCATCATACCCATTGAGTAGGAATCTATGCATTTCTGAAAACTATTCTTAACATGGTGTGAAAAGAAAAGAATGGCCCTACAAGTCACTCTGGCTGACCAGTTGCCTTATGACTTGGCTGTTACATCTCCTGGATAATGAATAATTAGCTATAATGTTAGGACTATCAATTCATATGTGTACCATAATATTGACAAGTAGCAATGTAGAAACATTACAGTTCACTTATGTTGAACATTGCCTATTGCATGAGCTGAATTTAATATGGAGGGGTTGGACAAAATAATGGAAATATTAAGAAAATTAGAAATAGAATGTGTTTGTGTTGGCCACATTGAAAGAACTTAAGTTGGCCTTGTTTACACACTGTAGTGCTTGTGTAAGTGAATTAGAGATTGTGTTCAGTGACAGTCCATGTGAAATAATAGTAAAATGGGAGACCTTCCCGATTTTAAAAGAGGACAGATTATTGGTGTCCATTTAGCTGGAGCATCTGTCACAAAAACTGCCATGTTATTAGGTGTACTGAGAGTGACAGTTTCTAAGGTTATGTCGACATACATGAATCACTGGAAGACAAGATCAGCAAAGAGGAATAGGGGGTGAAAATCAACATTGACAGAAAGAGATTATTATATATTGAGAAGGACTATTTTGAAAAATCACATAACTGCTGTAGCACAGGTAACAGGACAGCAGAACCGAATATTCACCTTGAAGACTCCGTTTCCACAAAAACTGTCAGATGTGAGCTTCACAAATCCACAGTAGGACTGCAATTCATGAACCTCTGGTGTCATGACCATAAAGCCTGGACATCGAACAAATGGAAACATGCACATGATATGGTCAGATGAGTCGTCCTTCATGATGTTCCCTACATCAGGAAGAGTTTGCGTTTGGAGAACACCCAAGGAAGCCTACAATCCGGAATGCCCGGTTCCAAGAACGAATCACAGGGAAGGTTTTATGATGGTTCTGGCAGCAATATTGTGGTATTCTGCTGGTCCCATTATTACCCTTCATGGCTGAATTACTGCAAGGGAACATGTAGACAGGATGGGTAAGTCTATCCCATAATCCAGCTGTTATTTGTGAACAATGACACAGTTTCCCAAGATGACAGTACCCCATCACACAGCTGGGACTGTTCAGTCATGGTTTGAAGAGCTTGAAGGTGAACTTCAACATGTTCCCTGGCCGGCATAATCACCAGATTTCAACATAATTGAACAACTCTGGTCAATTTTGGAAACTACAGTGGGGAACAGATTCTCATCACCGAAATCTGAAAAGCGATTTGAAGAAGTTCTTCAAGAAGAATGGTATAAAATCCTGCTGGAGACTGTATAAAAGTTGTGCAAATCCATTCCAAGTTGGATTGCGGCTATGTTGAAGGCAAAAGGGGGTTCAACACCACATTAATAAAGAAATGTGTACAGTGTCTGTAGTATTTCCATTATTTTGTCCAATGCCTGTACATGCCATTTTCCCATAATCAGGTGCTACATTCTAGTGGCAGAGATTATACTGATATGATCTGATCTGTGAGGCGAGTAACAATGATCAGTGCAAAACATGTGTAAGGTCATTCCAAAAGGAATTGCTATACTGAAGGCGAAAGTTGGTCCAAAGCCTTATTAATAAAGAAAAGTGTACAGTATCTGTAGTGTTTCCATTATTTTGTCCAATCCCTGTACATGTCATTTTCCCATCATCAGGTTGTACATTCTAGTGGCAGAGTTTATCTTAATGATCTGGTCTGATCTGTGAGGCTAGAGACAGTGATCAGGACAAACACAGAAGTCAATAAATACTGTACTTAAACGTTGATAATACCAGTCACTAGAACACCAACTTGTTTAGTAATCATCATGCAAAGTAAGAAAACTGGAATAGACCCAATGAAATGTAAAAGTAAGGTTATCCCTGTGCATAATAAGCGCCATGAAATGAACATATTTGGGAGTGGAAGTATAATTCCAAAGATTTTTAACTTCAGCACTAGATAAAAATAACTCAACACAATGTATTTGTATATCAAATGCACTGCAACATACAATTTCTAACACAGCTGTGGTGTAATGGCTGAGCTATATGAAAACATCAATCTCATTGTGACTCATTTGTTTAGGTGGAGAATCATGACAACTGCGTGTATGACTATCTTGAGGTGCGAGATGGCTTGTTGGCTGATAGTCCACTTATTGGTACATACTGTGGATACAAGATTCCAAGTGACATCCACTCTACAAGAAACCATCTTTTTGTCAAATTTGTTTCTGATGGCTCAGTTCAGAAAGTAGGCTTCTCTGCTAAGTTTATGAAGGGTAAGCAGTTAAATTGAATGTTCTATGGTACAGTGACATTGAGATTTGAGGGTTTTGTGCTAGTGGCTATGAAGATGGAATGTAATTCCATGTAGGTTGATAGAAGTATACTGATGTTCTGGAGGAACCTTCTACTTCCATCTTGACTCAGCCTGCTGATTGCTTCCTTGTTTGTTTTACTATTCAGACCCTGCAAATGGAGGCAGTGTGTCCTCTGAAATGTCAGTAACCCTTTACTAGGGGGCAGCGCCATAGCTCAAACGGTTAGTTGCTGGATTCCCACCACGGCGGCCTGGGTTCGATCCCAGGTCTGGTCAAGTGGGATTTGTGGTAGATAAAGTGGCGCTGGAGTGGGTTTTCTCTGGGTACTTCGGTTTCCCTTGCCAATCTTCATTCCACCAAATTCTCCATCATCATAATCACCTGGGGCAGGCTACAATAGGCCAATCAGTGGCTGCCGTGCCAAGTGGACCCAGTTGGGCTCCACCCTCCCACTAAGTGAATTAAAAAAAACCTTTACCAGACTACTTGGCTTCACATTTTGGAATATATGAGTAGTGCTATTTTAAATTACAGTATTTTTTTTTGTATCTTGGCTGGAACATTCTTTGAACTTTGAAAGATTCAGTTTCAAGTTTCAGTACTTATGCGCATGTTTGATGTAGTTAAAAACATGATCTAAAACTCTTATATTATGCTCTTACTGTAAGCCATCAATTGTATGTAGCCTACAATAGTGGGGAAACTTAAGTGGGTGGTACAGTGTAAATTATATTTATTTATTTTCTTAGTGCTTAAATGTATTTTTATGTTTATCTTCTCATAATACCTGCGAAAAATTATCTAATTAATATATTTTAAAACAAATAAAACAAAAATTATCAGAAAATATATAACACAAATTTAATACTAGCAAAATTTTAAAACTGCCATGTCAGATTATGGCAACACAGCATGCCAATAGAACACTGCATGTACTTGTTTAAGGTAGTAATAATCCTGCTGGTAGGTGGATCTGCTAATAGTGGTCCTTAGGTATTGTCATTTTCATGAAAAAATTCTTATTTAGAAGAGCTTCTTGTAATGCATATTTCATATTTCTTCAGTACTGAATGTTATGATGGTATGATTGAACTGTGAATGTACAGAGCCTCCAGCAACAAGTAAATTAAGGGCAGACTTCCTGCAGCCAGCAAGGTATGCCAGCAGACAGAAAATTGTTACACCATCATCATCATCATCATCATCATCATCAACAACAACAACAACAACAATCATCATTGCCGCCACCACCACCACCACCACCACTGTCATCATCATCATCATCGTCGTCGTCATCATCATCATCATCATCATCATCATCACCACCACCACCATCACTGCCGCTGAGCGTTTCAGGATATCCTTGGACATCCAAAGGACTTCATTCCTCTACATGTATACTCCATAAATATTTTGGAAAGTGTTTAGGCTCCATAATTTTTACATGTGAATGTGAAGAAAAAAATATATCACTTATAAATCTTCTTTTGTCTTTGGACTTCAGGCACTGATGCATGCTTCATTAGAAAATATGACTGCTTATAAAAACTTGTTTAAATTATTTGGTGTTGCAGAATTTGATGAATGTGCCCTGCAGACTCATGGCTGTGAACATAACTGTGTAAACACTCTAGGAGGTTATGAATGCTCTTGCAGAATTGGATTTGAGCTTCATTCTGATGGCAAGCATTGTGAAGGTGTGAGAATTCTTCATCATTCAGAATATTCTGTACCTTACTCCTTACTTCTGTCGTGTAACACATTGATGTTTGAACTGCCATCATTACACTGATGCTTCTCATGTTACAGATGCCTGTGGTGGTGTGTTTGATGCCTCTAATGGTACCATAACAAGTCCCAGTTTCCCAGAACTGTACCCTGGAAACAAGAATTGTGTGTGGGAAATCATTGCACCACCACAGTACCGCATTACGCTCAACTTCACCCACTTCGAACTGGAAGGAAATAATGTGAGTGAAATATTTATTTCACATACTATATAAAAAAATCATGCAAGTTTTCACTGCCGAAAATTTGAATACAGAATGAAACAAGTTTTATGAAAACCAACATAGTCATCCTTTCTTAAAATTGCATTCAGTTCTAATATGTTTTAAGAAAAATTCTTCCTCTATCAGAATCATTCTTCTTCATATGGATCAAGAGACAAAAAAGTTTCAAACTCTTTTTTATTTCCAGTCTTTCCTTTCAAATTTTTTACCACCTCTTTCCTCATCTCTTAAAATATTTCAGTATCTGGCTTAAACATTTTAGTTTGGGTTGTCCCACACATGCAGGGTGTCCCAGGCGGAAAGGCCAATATTCTGGGAGATTATTCTAAACAAAAAGGTGTATATGTACATGTATCTTATTCTGAACGGTTTCCGAGATAGAGCTGTTTCACTCTACAGTTCCAAATTTGTTGATAAGAAAGAAATATTACCTACTGTTTCTAATACTGGCATTTATTGTTCAAGTGACGAAGTTGGTATAGTTTACCTTGTACGATACATTTTCGAAAATTCCACTGTTAACATCAATGCACTTTGCAACTCATGTGAGGACATGGCGTGTTGCTTGTCTGTACAGTATGTTGTGTACTGTACACTGAAATAGCTCTGTCTCAGACTGTTCAGAATAGGACACATGTACGTACACACTCTTTTGCTGAGAATGAGCGATGCTGTGACCTCCCAGAATATTGACATTTCCTCCTGGGACAGCCTGTATACACACACACACACACACACATATATACATACATACATGTTATTGTTTGTTTGTTTGTCCCCCCCCCCCCCATTGGTCTTCTCAGTATGTTTCTTCTATGCCATTCTTTTTATACTACCAAAAAGGTAATTGTTTCTTGCCTAAAAGTTATTTAATTCAAACTTTTCAAATAATTTGATTTACAATTGTATCCTTTCTCATCTTTCTTTCAATACTTCTGAAAAATTTTGTTTCCATTGTTAGGATAAGAAAAATTCCATGGTCATATTATTAAACACTAACTTTCAAATCACTTTTCAGTTCCAATTTATGGTCAACCTATGTAGTTTTCATACAGTAGTTCCAAATTGATTTGTGAATTAAAGGTCACATTCTGCCTGCACCTATACTGTCCGATATCCAATGTAGGTCAAAATAGTGCCAAGGTGTGACAGTAGGCAAATACTTCTACAAGAATACACATACGACAAAACTTATGGGAAAGGTCCCACCTTGTGATATTCGATGTTTTCATGACAGCACCTATAAGATTACTGTCTTCTGGGGTTTGATTTCTTGTAGTTTGGTAAATAGTTAGCAGAGTTTTAAAGGATGCTGATACCTCTGAGTTTTGTTTAGAACAGTAAGCTGCATGGGATAAAATGGTCAGTCTTACAGGGAAGGGAGGACAAGGGCTGGGGCTAAGAGTGAACCAGAGGGAGTGATATAAAATGAATGTGATCCTGTGTTCCTTCAAAGGGCATGTCATGAGATCAGGAAAGGGGTAAATGGTAAAATGTAAGGAAGGTGAAAGAGTAAAGAAACACTGTGAGATAAAATAAAAATGTAGTAATCTAATTAAACAAGCTACGAAAGTGGAAGATTAGAAAGGAGGTGTGTTTATCACTTAATTTTACATTGTTCCAAAAAAGAAGTTACAAATTTTAGACTAAGGCAACTATACATTGGTCTACTTCTATCACTGTTTACTTGTTATTATACTGAAAAATAAACAGGAGCCTCAGTTTAAGGTTATTTAAGCTAGAATTACATAGAAATTTCTTGTCTCATAGTAATGACGTGAGATGTGAGATATAAAAGCCTTACATTGAACATTAGTACCAGCATTCCATGTAAGTTATGTCATCATACTGGTACTGATAATTCTAGTTGAATTCATTCCGTTCACCAGATAATAGAAGGGTGTTGGAATCAAGGAGAATGAGATAAGTGGGATATGTAGCATGCATGGAGGAGATTAGAAATGCATATAAAAATTAGCTGGGAAACATTAAAAGATGAGGCTCTTAGGAGATTAAAATGTACATATTGGGATATATTAAAGGGGTAGTACTGAAATAGGGTGTGGATGGGATTCAATTGCATCAGTAAAGGATCCAGTGGCAGACTACACAGTAATAAACATTTGAGTACCATTGCAGATAGAAAATGTCCTGACCAGCCAAGGAACTCAAAATGGACCCTGATCCATTGAGTTTATAGTTGCTGCTCACTATATCCTGTTTTCTGAAAGTGCTGAAATCCCAGTAATTTTTGTGGAAGCAGGATGTGGACTGTGATCGTTGAATTTAATTTTAAAATGTGGGGGAGGGAGAATAATGCTCTTGATATGATTCTGTGTAATGAATATGTGTTTGCGTGAATTGTGTAACAGTTGTCTTTGTATCAGGTGCTGCAACTTGAGTAATACTGTTCAGAAGACTGAAACATACTTCTGAGAAGAAAACTTTATAAAGATGAACTGAAATATGACATTGAAAATTTTGTAGACACTTTGTAAATGAAGTGCAATTATCTGGTATTAAGCATAAAGAATTTACTGTTTTCTTTTCTTTCTGTTTTAGGTTTATCAGGTAAGACTTAAATTTGTGGCCTTCTCAAATTAACAGAGTGATGGCTGTGTTTCTGCTTTTTAATTGTGTGCTTTGCAGGATTACAGTGAGAAACAGGTAAATTCAGATCTTCTTTAATAAACTCTCCTATGACTTCCTTAGAATATAATAAATAAACCTGAAAAGCTTTAGTTAGAATTAACAAGACGTTGATAAATAAACAAATACTGTATCTGAGTGTGTGTGGTGCAATAGGTGATAAACTAACTTACAGTATAGGGTCTTTGTAAATTATGATGTATTTTCAACAGCCATGTCTTGAAATGAATACATGTGTATGAAACAAAGTGCACTGCATAAACATTTTTCCCAGTGCATTTTTAGTTTCACAAATGTTCCATGTGGTGTCCTCAAATCACATAAACAATATCCCACTGTCCCATCTTAACTTTGGCAACAGCTACAACAGTCCTTCCCCAAAGCTCTTCAAGGGTTAATGGTATAAGGGAAATGGGGTTGTGATACACTTATCCGTGACGTAGTCTCGCAAGAAAACTCTTGTGCCATCAAGTGAGGGAGCCACACAGTGGGTCCTGCTTGATCTATCCATGCAATGGGGATTATTTGGGGTGTGTATCATTTCTGTGTTTCATTGGGCACATACAAGTTTTCTGTTCTTAATTTTTTTTTTCATTTCATGCATCCTGTTGTGTTATAATATACAATTTCTTTATTAAAACCATCACTACACAACTATATTAAGGTCAGTGCCTAGTTTGGCTCTGCTACATGTTTCGGCTATTAAAAGCCTTCATCAGGCAAATACATGGCTAACATATATACACCACTGAACTGCAGTACTAATAAAATTGGATATAATAATATTAATTATATTAAAATGCTTGGCATAAAAATACAATAAATTAGATTATATAAGACAAAAGTTATAGTATAAAACAAGAATAAAATTGAAGAAAGTCGTCTTCTGGGTTTTGGCGCCGCTACTGCTCTCTGCATTCACAAGCCATTCACCTGCTCTGAAGATGGAGGCAATACGTTCCTCCGAAACGTCGGCCAAAACGAATAATACACGGCGCCAAAACCCAGAAGACGACTTCCTTCATAGTCATCGCCATGAAAACCTCAAAACTTACAAGAATAAAATTCTTCAAGTGATGCTTTACATCATCGAGTCAGTCGGTTTTTGTGATTTTGTTGTGTTCCCGTGGACAAATTGGTATATTCTATATTTTGTGTATTTATGATAAACTGTTTTGGAGGCTTGTGATGTAGATGTAGTAATATTAATGTTAATTATACATTGTTAACTTTGTTTACATTCTGTACAGAATGGACAATACTTTGTAAGATGAGGCACCTACTATATAATTAACATTAATATTTTAATCTTATAAATATTATTGTATCCAATTTTATTAGTACTGCTGTTCAGTGCTGTATATCTGTTAGCCATGTATTTGCCTGATGATGGGTTTTAATAGCCGAAACATGTAGTAGAGCTAAACTAGGCACTGACCTTAATATAGTTGTGTTGTGAAGGTTTTAATAAAGAAATTTTCTGTTTTTTATACCCTGAGGTGCTGTGTCTGTCACTGTCTGTGTCACTTTGCACTGACATGCAACACTCTCATCAGTACCTTATAAATCATTGCTAGCTCATAGTGAATTGACTGCTCAGAAGTGTGAGCTAATTTAGAAAGACCACTTGCTGAAATGGTAGTTTGCTACAGAATGTTTAAAATTAATTTCTTAATGTGAATTAAATTTGATTTCTTCAGCCATTACAAGTCACAGTCTTAACCTACTGTATCACATTACCACATGCTATGCCATTTCTTCTCAGACAAACATTTGTCATAGCCACACAGACATTTTATGTGGTCATTTATACATAGTACAGTCAATAATTTCATGGGTTGGCCACACACTGGCACTGTTAAGTATTATAGCGGATACATGGAGCCATGAGATGGTGCCGTGTCCATTCTTCTCTTGTCCCAGCAGGAAGCAGTTGCATGCATGCGGTGTATTCAGAAAGAAAGTCCCTGCCTGCAAGTAGCAGAAATCGAGAATGTTGCAGTCTGAGCAACAGGAAAGCGTCAAGTTCTGCCAAAAATTAGGCAAATTTGCTATCAAAATGTTTGAGATGATCAAGCAATCATATGGCAAAGAAGCTTTGGGCTGTAGTGCTGTGTTTAAGTGGCACAAACGATTTGCACAGAGGAGAGACAGTTTGGAAGATGATGAACATACTGGTTGGCCAAGAATGGTTAGAATTGAACTCAAGATCCAAGAAGCTGCAAAGTTGGTGTGTGCCAACTGCTCCCAAATGGTAGATGAAAACGCAGCAGCAGCAGAAATTAGCCATGATACTTGCATACAAAATTCTGTCTGATGACCTGAACATGTCTAGTGTTACCCATCACAGTGTTCGACACGTCCTGACCAAGACCAAAGTGACAGTCGCATGAGCATTTGTAGTGACCTGATCAATAGTGCTCACAAAGGCAGGATGTTTCTCAACCAGATCATAATAGGTGATGAAACATCGTGTTTTCTGTACGATCTGCAACTAAAGTGACAGTTGACCACCTGGAAATCGCCATCATCACCAAGAAAGAAGAACCCAGAACAGTACAAGTCAAAAGGAAAGGTAATCCTTAAACTGATTTTTGTCTTCTCTGGAATTGTTCACATGGAATTCATCCCAGAAGGAGTGACTGTTAACAAGCACCTCTACATGGAGATCCTTTGATGTCTACACAATTCAACTCGTCCTCAGCGTCCTGAGCTTTGGCACAGGAAGAACTGGCTCTTGCTACATGACAAAGCCCCTGCACATTGTTCTGTGCTTGCCCAAGAGGAACTGGCAAAACAACAGGTCACCATTTTGTCACACCCTCCATACTCACCAGATCTCACACCATGCAATCTCTTTTCCTTTCCCCACTTGAAAGAAAAGCTACGTGGGCATCGATTTCAGTTGGTCAAGGAGACTGTCACTGCCACAAGGGAAGCCGTACAGGACCTTCCTGCAGATATCTTTCAGTAGTGTTTCAGACAGCAATATCAGTGTTGGCAGACTTGCACAGCGACCAACGGCGACTATTTTGAGGGAGGATGTGAATATGTGTAAGTGTTTATGAGTATCTTGTAATACGGTGCGACAAAACGACAGTCCACGAAATTATTGACTGTAGTAGTCCTGAATAAGATTTTAATATGGATGTTTCAAAATACGTCACATCTCTGATCAATGAGTAGCTGAAGTACAATCTTGTTTTAATCAGGGTCTGTGGACAAAATTCATGATATCTTAAATTCAGTTACTTCTGTGTTCTTTATATTGTTGGGTAAAATATCCAGTGGCTGTACTTGCGAATCACTGAACTATACAAGGTAGAGTGCTCTTACAGCATAAGCATTCTTGTTCTTTGTATACATATCTGAACATTGCAGCAAGAATGTGAATATGACAGCGTGGAAGTACACAGCAAGATGGGTGAGGATGTGACAAGAAAGCATGGTGTCTATTGTGGCTCCCGGCTTCCTCCACTAATTACATCAGAGGGCAACAGCCTACGTGTTGAATTTAATTCTGACAACTCCGTGCAGAAGTCTGGCTTTGCTGCAGTCTTTTTCACTGGTAACAGCACTCATAATGCTATACATAAAAGTCAGACTGATAAACATACGTAGGTCGTACCGAAAGTCATGAGCAACTTTTTTGCATGCAACCTGGGAACAGCAGATGAAAGAGAGTACGGTGGTAGGTGGAACCAGCTGTTGTGTTAACCTTGAGTGTCTTGTGACTTCAATAGCTTGCATCACGTGACCAGTAACACTCCTAACAAAATGGCCAATGACAATATGTCCTTTCGCCAGTGTGCTGTCATCAAATTTCTTGTGAAAGAGGAAATCCCTGCTGCAGAAATTCACCAGAGACTTCAGCGTGCTTATGGAAGTGCGTGCATGGGTGCGAGCAGTGTTCAAAGATGGGTGGAACATTTTAAAGATGGGAACACCAGCATCGAAGATGAGCCTTGGAGCAGTCATCCTCGAACAGCCTCAACTGAACGCAACAAGGAAAGAGTAGATGAGATAATTCAAGATGACAGGCATGTGACTGTGGACACAAGAGCACAAAAACTTGGCATAGGGCACAGTGTAGTACAGGAGATGATTGAAAGCTTGGGCTATAGGAAAGTTTGTGCTCACTGGGTCCCGTGGTTATTGACCAAAGACCACAAAGGTCAGCGAAAAGCCATCACCTCAGAACTGTTGCAGAGATATCGACACGAAGGCGATGATTTTTTGCTCTGTATTGTGACAGGTGACGAAAGCTGGTTTCACCATTTCGAGCCTGAAATGAAACGGCAGAGTATGGAATGGCACCATTTGCATTCTCCATCAAAAGAGAAGGCAAATACAGTGCCATCAGCTGGAATGGTGATGGGCACAGTCTTCTGGGATGCAGAGGGATTTATTCTGGCTGAATTCCTGGAACCTGGGCACACCATCAATGCTGCTCGTTATGTCCTGACACTGCACAAGCTCCATCTTGCAATGCACGATAAACGTCCGGGACAAAACATCATCATCCTGCATGACAACGCTCGCCCCCACGCTGCTCACCTCACATTGGAAGCAATTGAAAAGATGGGGTGGGAAGTTCTTCCACACCCCTCCTATAGCCCTGATCTGGCACCCTCTGACTACCATCTTTTTGGATTTGTGAAGGATCAGCTGCATGGACAATGTTTTGAGACAAGGGAGGCAATTCAGAAAGTAGTGCGTCAGTGTCTTCAGATGGCTGGAACGGAATTTTACAGAAGGGGAATTTTCAAACTCCCAGAACGCTGGGATAAATGTGGACAATGAAGTGGCGATTATGTGGAAAAATAAAGAAAGGTCTGTAGATTGAGGTGGTATATTTGGTTTGTCAATAATAAAGCATGTTACTTTACAAAAAATTGTTGCTTATGACTTTCAGTACGACCCTCGTAATTATTATTATGAACATTGTTCATCACTTTGAGTTTTTCCAAATAAATCTCAGAAACCGAATCTGTTTACTATGTCAGAAGTAATGGAAAATAGATCCTACTCACATGGATCTGTTAGAAAGAGATAGTCTCAGTCACTGGATAGGAGACTTCAGATGATGAACAATATCCAAAATAAGTCATGTTTATTGTTACACATCATCATTAGAAACACAAATCATATTCAGATCACGGAAGTCATTTAAATATAATGGTGACTGGAAGAGAATGTTAGTATACTGAACATTCAATCTTAACAGCTGTTTTCATTACACTTCATAGTAAAGAACCTTACTTGGTAAGTATAAAAAATTTTCTTCTCTTGTGGAAACTGAAGGTGCATCACCTTGTTTATAAAAGTCTGTCATTTCACCCTATCCTCAGTCAGCTGCATTCAATTAACACCTTCATACCCTAGTTCTTTAAATACATTTTAATATTTTCCTGTCGAATATGTCCAAGTTTTTCATATGGTCTCTTCTTTTCAAGTTTTCTGACCAAAATGTTACAAGAATTTTCCAATAAGGAAAAACTACAGATTTGGTTTTACTAAGTCATAAAGGGCTGAGTCATTTTGTGAAGGATCAATAACTGAACAAAGGGTTTGGATGAACAAAAGCTACCAAGGACTGAGTTAATTATATAAAGCCCCTGATCAGGGAGCAGATATTGAAAAAAGAAGTTTGGAGCATTGGAATGTGTAATTAGAATAGAGCAGACAGGGGTTGTTAAGACAATTTGTGAAAGTAAGCCAGAAGGCAGAAGAAAAGTGAAATGCTCAGATTCAAGTGGCTGGAAGAAATGGAGAATGATTAATGAGAGCTGAAAGTGAAGAGATGGAAGAAAGAGGTAAATAATAAACAATGGACATGTCATAAAGGAGGCCAAGGTTCATACACAACCATAGAACTGTACATTAAGGTGTAAGTAAGTGAATAGAAAGGGGAAATTTATTATTATACATATTATTGCTTACTACAGACATGGATGAATGTGCAACCAACAATGGAGGTTGTCAACATGAGTGTCGGAATACCATTGGGTCGTATGCATGTTCCTGCCACAATGGCTTCATGCTGCATGAAAATGGACATGACTGTAAGGAGGGAGGATGTAAGTATGAGATTACTGCACCTTCTGGAACCATCTCTTCACCAAATTATCCTGACTACTATCCAAGCCGCAAGGATTGTGTTTGGCATTTCACTACTACTCCAGGACATCGCATCAAGCTGGTAAATATTGCAGAAATAATTTCTTTCATAGCAGTGAATTTCTAATGGAATAGCATAGCATTTGATCTTCATTAATTAATTGAAAGCAGAATAATTTTGGTAACATTACAAACGGAAATCCTGCATTAAAAGGTAATATGCTAATATGTATGACATCAAATATAAATTCTATTAAATGTATAACCTAGTAACTAATTAGATGGAGCTGAGTATTTCTCAGGAAGTCACCAGTCCCTTAGCTACTCAAGAATTTTTTCGTTTTATGGAACCAGAAGATTCATTACTGTGTTCACAAGAACCTGCCACTGGTCCCTACGTTGAGCCAGATCAATCCAGTCCATACCACCCCAACCTATCTCTCTAAGATCCACCTCATTTTTATCCTCCCACTTACATCTAGGTCACCCTAGTTGTTTCATTTCTTTTGGCTTTCCTACCAAAATCCTGTATGCATTCCTGTCATCCCTCATGCATGCTATATGCCCTCACCATCTCATCATCATTGACTTGATCATTCTAATTATACTTAGATAAGAGAAAAAGTTTTGCAACTCTTCATTACGTCATTTTCTCTAACCTCCTGTTATTTCATTCCTCTTGGGTCCAAGTATTCCCCTCAGCAACTTGCTCAAACATTGTCAGTTTATGTGCCTCCCTTAATGCCGGAGACCATGCTTCACACTCATACAAAACTATTGGCAAACTCGAGAGTTCTGTAGGTTTCAGTTTGTATGTCTTTGTGCTGCATATGCAAACACAAAATGTCCTGAACTGAATCATAACAAGCATGACCCAAATCCAATTTTATCTTATTTCCTCAGGAATCAACTTTTTATTAAGTTTCTCATATTACTAAATGTATACAATCACACAAATTGACTATTTTAGATTAAGGTAAAGTTGAAGAATGCCATCTTCTGGGATGTGGCGCCATCTTTGATCATTTGCCACCAAAAATCAAATCTATGTCTAATGACTTGAAAAATTTTAAAATTCAGTTGACAACATTTTTATTGCAAAATTCTTTTTATACATGTGATGAATTCTTTAGTAACAAATTTGCCTAGAAATAAGGATAACAACATAAACAATTTTAATATTGCATAATTTTATGACTAGTGATGTAAGACTGTAAATTTAACACATCCTCATTCCATCAAATCTCCATAGGCATTACCACCAGTAAAGGTACAATAGGACATATGGAGGATTTAAGACCACAGAAACTGTTTTCAAGACTAATTATACTGTCATATTATTATCTCTGTATTACTATATTATTATTATTATTATTNTGTATAGTGATGTAAGACTGTTTTTTGATATAAATTTAACACATGTTTTTTTATCTATTTTAATTATTATAAACTGTACATATATATATATTTATATTGTAGTATATTAATTATGTGACTGGTTCTATATCTATGTATATGGATTTATGGAATATACAATGAATGAATGAATGGATGAATGAATGTAGATCTTGTGTGAAGCACACAAGATTTACATGGTGCCACATCACATTCTTCATAGTCAGTGCCATGAAAGATTCAAATCTTACATAAGGTAAAGTTGTCCCTGTGCTTAACTAATTAAGCACTATGCCATGAAGGTATATGGGGCAGTGGATGTATAGATCCAAATTCTCTTGAACTTGGCACTAGTTGGAGGTGAGATTACAGATGCAAAATATATTATCGGATTGGAAATTTTGCAGCCATTTTACATAATAAAGTATCTTCCAAATGGGAGCCTGTCAAACATGGAGTTCCACAGGGCTCATTGGGTCCATTACTATTTCTCATTTATATAAATGATTTTCCACTAACCATAAACAAAATGGCTAATCCAATATTATTTGCAGATGATACCAGCATCATTATATCAAACACTAATCCTGAGGAATTTAAAAGTAATGTCAGTTCACTCTTGAATGAGACAATTAATTGGTTCAATAGCAACTTTTTAACACTGAATTGTGAAAAATCACACTTCTTGCAATTCTTATTAAAAAAACATAAAGAAATAAAAATGCAAATAATATCTTCTAACTCAGTGATTACCAATATTAATTGTACTAAATTCCTGGGTTTAAATGTTGATAGTACAATGTCATGGAAGGATCATATCACTGAACTGTCATCAAGACTAAATAAGGCTTGTTATGCAATAAGGGCAATAAAACCATTTATGTCTTTAGACTTAATGAAGTCGATCTATTATTCCTGTGCGCACGATATTCTATCTTACGGTATTATCTTCTGGGGTAATTCTTATCTCAGTGACAGTATTTTTAAAATTCAAAAAAGAATAATAAGAGTTATTACTAGTTCAGGTAGATACGACTCATGCCGTGAATTATTTAAAAAATTACAAATATTGCCACTTCAGTCTCAATACATATTCTCACTACTTGTCTTTGTCATCAAGAACAGAAGTTGCTTTATATCTAATTCTGATATTCATGATATTAATACTCATTACAACCACAATTTACACTTGCCTTCTACAAATCTATCATCTGTACAGAAAGGAGTACTCTTTTCTGGAAGTAAGATTTATAACCACTTACCATTAAATATTAAAATGCTATCTAAAGATATTAAGCATTTCAAATCTTCATTACAAACCTACCATACAGAACATGCATTGTATAGTATTAATGAATATTACCAATTAACTTCCTAATGAATATGGTTCTTTTTATATTTCTTGCCCTTTGTACATTTTGATTAGTTGTGGGAGGTCTTCCCACTGTAAGTTCAATTCATTCATGTTTCATTATCTTCACTATTATCTTGTGTATTTGTTCAAACTGTGTTTTGTGACACTGTTGTGCAATACTGTGTTTTGCTTTGTGTCTTTGATCAAAATATGTTTTGTGACACTGCTGTTATGCAATACTGTGTTTTACTTTATGTCCTTATTGTGCTCATTATGAATGTATGTATATATCATTATTTTATGTTTATATTATATTTGTATCTTGACAGCTTCTATATCCCATAGGTTGGTTTGACCTTGTATGGATTAAGAGAATGCAAATAAATGAATGAATGGCATTTATAATGTTTTAGCTATTCAATGTGTTTGAATTGGAGCCCCATCAGGAGTGTGCATATGATCACATTGTACTATATGATGGTGATTCCCCTGAATCACATACATTGGGAAGGTTTTGCGGCTCCAAACCACCACACCCAATTATTGCCACTGGGAATCAGATGTTCTTGGTCTTTAAATCAGATGCCTCTGTACAGAGAAAGGGATTTTTCGCAAGCCACACAACAGGTATATCTTTTGTTTCTCCAAAGCAGTATTTCTCAGACTGTGTTATCAGTACCCCAAAGGGTACCAAGCAGTTTGTCACAGATGCCAAGTCCTAATTCACATTTTTCAACATTTGTATTGAAAACTGTATATCTGCGGGTGTTATTTTTGTACTGAATCAACTCAGAATAAACTTATGCACATAATAGCTATCAAGACATGCATTGTTCATTTATGTTAGAAGAGGATCAGATATTAAACTATAAATTTTACAGGCCGTTTTTGCATGGGCTACAGATATTTATTAAACTGCTGCAGGGCACACCAAGCACAAAATTTTAAAGAGTTTCAATAATGCTAATGCAGTACAAATGATTATGTCAGATATTTTTTCAGTGTTGAACATGTAATAGGTATAATGTTACACTAGTAGATTCAGTACTAAATTTTGTTATGAGGTAAAGATGAAAGTGAAATCGCCTATATGTCTGTGACCCATGTAAACCAGGCTTATTGGAGGCATAGAGCTAAAGCTTTACAGACATGTCAGATCACTAGAGCAAATGCAGGAGGCTACTCATGTGGAAAGAGTCACTATTAGACTCTGAATAACAGTGCTATCCAAAGTCATTCTGAAAAATATCAGTGGCCCAAAAAGGACATGAATCATCACTTGACTATTTCGGCAATAAGTAGTCACTGTACTGACTGATCCCTATGGGTCTTGGTTACAGCCATTAGGAACTTTACAGTAAAGTATCTGTACATAGTGTAATAAGGCAATACACCCTTGATTTGTTAGGTTTTCAAGTTGTTTAATTTTTGCATATTTGCCTTTCTTGGATATAATGGTGAAACCAAATGGAGAATCTGGCCGTGTGTCCAGAAGCAGTATGGACCATTTCCAGGTGGTGATTTAATACTGATGAATATTATAAATCAACTTTTCAGTGAACACTTTGTCTTGATTGTCTCTCCTACCGATAATATAATTACACAGTTTATGTATCTACTACAACTGTATCAGTGTTTGTATTATTGTTTGTATGTGGGTCATTTCATAAATGATGCACAGGTTGGCAACAGTGCGGAGTAGATGACTCAACAACAGTGAGCCTCACGGTTCAGGGCTTGAGAAAAACCAGACAGAAATCCACAGTGCTTTAAGTGAAGTTTGTGGCGAGTTAACAGTGGACCGTAATACAGTTTCTCGATGGGCTAGTTGTTTTCGTGGCAGCCGTGTGAGCATAAACGATGATCCAAGGCCAGGAAGGCCAAAAACATAACAGATGAACGAAGTGTGAAACTTGTGTCAGATGCTCTTGAAGAAGACTGTCGTGCGACATGTGAGGAACTTTCTGACAAATGATTTAAAGAAGAGAAAGATTTCTGCACGATGGGTCCCTCACTGCTCGACTCCTGAACAGAAGCAGAAATGCCTCGACATGGCAACCTTGCTGAAACAAAGATTCGATGTTGAAGGTCAAGCATTCTTGTATCGACTTGCTGCTATTGATGAAATGTCAAACAAATGATGATCTTTGCTTATGATCACAAAGGAATCATCATGACAGACAGAGTTCCGTGCGGGAAAAAAGTATCACAGCAGTTTATTATCGTGATTTTATGCAAAATTTGTGCAGAAAAATGCACAAAAACCGACCTCAGTTGCTCTAGGCTGGGCCGATCATTCTCCATGACAACACTCGCCCGCACATCAGGAATGTTGTAACAGAAAAGCTGCGCCAATACGGTTGGGAGGTGTTGCCTCATGCTCCCTACAGCCCGGACATGAGTCCACCAGACTTTGATTTATTCCCAAAGTTGAAACAACCTATGTGAGGCCGTGGTCTTCCTTCTCTGGAAGAGCTTTCTGCTGCAGTTACCCGAGCCATTCAACAGATAAACAAAGATGGTGTCCTGGATGGAATAGTAAAGCTTCCCACACGTTGGGACTCGGCCATTGAGAAGCAGGGGGACTATAGTGAAGGACTGTAAAGAGACATTTAAAAAAAATAAACATGGACGTAAACAAAAAATTGTGTGCATTATTTCTGAAATGACCTACGTATTACTGTATAGGACTGAATTAATTTATAGTGGTTCTTAGTGTTTTCATTTGTCATTGTATGGGTAAGTAATGTATATTTTATTATCTCATGTTCAAACATGATTATGTATGTATATTTTATTATTTTATGCTTAAACATGACAGATTCTATATCCAATAGGTTGGTTTGACCTTATATGGATTGACAGAATGCAATAAATAAAGTAAAGTAATCTCTGCATCCATTGATGTGAACATCATTGTTGAATTGTCCACTCATACGTGTTCTTTGTAGTTATTTGCTTCATATGTATCCCCTGTAAGCAGCCCTCATGTTACAGCCATCAGGTGGTGTTTCCGTGAAGTTTTTCCAGTTGGCAAGAAGCAAAAACTACTCTGTGTAGAAGTTACATAACATGTCAGCCAAGATAAATCTGTATTCAGCCTTTCAGTTTGTAATAACTAATAAGCCATTTGAAATAGGCAAATAAGTGTGCATGGAGGTAAACCATAAGCATGCCTTCTAATTCCACGTGGCACATTTTTATATGTTAACAATTAGCAAACCTGACTGGATCAAAATTTCAAGGTTCTGTCAGACAAATTTATTATAGTAAGAATTTGCATTACCAGTAGTATAAACTACACACAGAAATAAATTATACATCTGCAAAGATTACTGTTTATGAGTCCATGAAGTTTGGTAGATCTTTATTGAGACTTTGGGGGAAAGGTTTATAACAGTTAGTCACAGGTTTCCCACCACAGAGGCTCAGATTCAATTTCAGGGCAGTTCATGTGGGTTTGCAGTGGACAAAATGGCACCGGAGCAGTTTTCTGTCTAAGTACTGCAACAGTGCAACTGTGACAACAATTAAAGTTTCAGATTTGCTACGGGTGGTAGTTGATAGTGCTTTATTGTTATAGATTATGGTTTTTGTTCATGTTGTATAGTGTTAATATTTTTAACTGGTATGACATTACACAATTGTGATGCAGTATGTGATATTTACTCATGTTGACTATTTCTATATCCATTGGTGTTTAACCATGTAAGGATTTATGGAATGCTGAATAAATGAATGAATGAATGATTGAAGTTTTCCCAGTCAGTTATTGTTCTACCAGTTTCAACTCATATGTTATCTGGAACTGACTTGTGGCATAAGTATCAAAAGACTGTCTCACCTAGCAACTAGAATAAAATGAAGACATACCAGGTTGCATGACAGCACATCCCAAAAACAGAATTATTCATATAACAGGTCACATTGGACGGAGTGATTTATAATTTGTAATTGTTATTGTGACGGACCAGAATGAAACAAATCATATTCATATAACAATTAATTTATTCATCTTGCTAGCATCACCATATAGAACAAAGTAGTACACTTTCTTTCTTTAAAAAAAGTTGGATAGATTCTAAAGTGTTCTACAGAAAATTGGAATTATCATGAAGCCAAATAGATGACTTTCAGACCATTTTTAGCCTGATTTCCTTCCTTACAGAAAGAAATGTGGCAGTCCTACATATTGTTGTTTACTGCCAGAAAAATATACTAGATTAAAGAGTATGATAGTGAACATGGCTGTGCCATAGCTCAGGCAGTTAGTTGCTGGCTTCCCACCACGGCAGCCTGGATTCAAGCTCGGGTCAGGTCATGTGAGACGTGTGGTAGACAAAGTGGCACTAGGGCAGGTTTTCTCCAGGTACTTTGGTTTCCCCTACCCATCTTCATTCCACAAATTGCTCTGCAATCACCATCACCTATCATCTGGGTCTGGCACAATAGGCCAATAGTGGCCACGGTACCAAGTGGACTCAGTCCCACCCCACTAATAATAATAAAAAAAAAAGTAAAAAAGAAAATGGTAGTGGTCATCATAAATCTTCACAAATTATCTTGTTTTAAATTATGTGTTGCTGCTGGTACATAAATGATGTCTGTTATGATTTTTCTGCTGGGATGCAATAGAGTTCTATTTTAATTTGAATCAATAAATCACTGAAGCCTAGCCATATGTCGTGTGTCACCTACTCTGTTATTGAAAACAATATTTCAGCATATATATATTTTATCTGTTGTATTGGCAGTTTGTGGTGGACACCTACAGGCTACTGATCGTGTCAAGCATCTATATTCACATTCAAAGTATGGTGATCACAATTATGAAAACAGAGCTGATTGTGATTGGTCCATTGAGGCACAGCCTGGTCGCAATGTACACCTAACCTTCCTCACCTTTGAGCTTGAAGACGAACAGGACTGTGGCTATGATTATGTTGAAGTCTATTCTGGTCTTGATGCCAGTGGACCTTCTTATGGCCGCTTCTGTGGAAATTCTGTGAGTAAATAAATACAGTGTTACTTAACTTTGGGTTAATTTACTGCCAGTTACTGAATGATGGAAACTGTTGTAATTAACGATGAAATGTGGTTATACAGATGAAAAATCTGGTCCATCATAGCTTTGCTAACACAGTCTCAATTTTCATGGGCATAACATCAAACTCAGTGTAACTTAGTATGTTTTCCCTTTGTCTATAAACATTTACTGATTAAACAGGTGTTACATTAATTTTAGAACAGTGACATCTGCATGTCAACATCAGGCTCTTTGTGATGTGTAACATAAATGCTGTATTGAACTAATTCATACATGTACCACGTTTATTATAGCTGAATATTCAAAGTGTAACATCACCAGATACTTTTTTAAAAATAATTGCATTTCATGTATGTTGGAAAAGTGTTGATAAAGTGGGATTTGATGATCTCATAGCAGTGGCTTTGAATGAGCTCTGTCCTCTGGGATAAAATGCCATGTAGTCTAGTGAAAGTCAACCAACATTTTTGAGAAGCATGTCATCTGCAACTTGAGGGTTAAAGAGAAGTCAAGCAAGAGACCAGCATGAAGTAGAGAGGAAGTATGCTGCCTTCTTGCTTGACTTACTCTTCAACCCTGAGGATGGAGATGATGTGTCCCTACAAAACATTGGTTGATTTTCATCACATAACATGGTATGGTATCCCAGAAAATATGTTATTTAAGTTAGCTGGTGACAGCTGTAGTACAGATTGGAGCCTCTGATCCAACCAGCATCGTTTTTCTTCATTATAAAACCGAAGTAAATGAGGTAACATTTGTTGTGTTCCACAGAACCCCACTGACATTGTCTCTATGAATGAGGCTCTACTAGTCCGTTTTCGTTCAGATGACACGATAATAAACAAAGGATTTTCAGCAGCATATGTTGCTACAGATCCTATGGGAAGTGAAGAGATAGCAGATAGAATAGCTCAAGAGGAAGAAGATAGTCAAGACGGCTAATGGTTTTAGTCAGAACGAATAAAACAAGTACAGGCTAGGTACACATAAGGATGGCAAATTGTCCGATTGAAATGTGTTAATTGGACGCAAAGGATTGGCTCTCTTGATATATATCATGAACTGATGGAAATACTAAAGCTTTAAAAGATCTCATATATTATTATCTTGAAGGAATATTCCAAGACTGGTGTAGTGCCCAAGATTGAGTGATGTACTTGAGTACTCCATCAAGAAATTAAAGTTGCATGTAATATAGCATCTTCAGAGCTCTGAAAGTAACTAGCAAGGAATTTCTCTGAAGATAATGAGTGTTGTTTATTGTCACTGCCCTTCAGATGTTTAGGGTTCCTCAGGCTGCTCATGCCAGGACATATCAGTAAATAACATTCTTAAGATCATGACATGTTGGAATTAATGACAAACCATGATACTTGCCTGTATTCAGGGTGCACTTTTTACCATTGTTCATTCATCATAATCAGGATCTGTCTATAATAAATATCATTCATTCAAATAATTTTTCTTTAATAACAAATTTAGATGATATCCTTGACTTTATGCCAGTCACCAATCAAATGAACAGGTTTGTTGTTCTGACCTACAAATCCCTCATCTTAGCAGATGCATGACCATGTAACAATATTGCATTGCTGGTATAATGTGACCTACATCTTTCTTTCCTGCACATGCAAAATAAAGGATATAAACATTTAAAAGTGACAGTGACCTTATGTAAGCAACCATTAATTGGGTTTGGTTTCACAGTGGAGGGTTCAAGAATTTCTGAAGTAACTTAGTTAATATTCTTTCCTTGTAATTGCAAGATAATGATCATATCATGTTACTTCCCCTGAAGATAAGAGGTATCAGACACGACAAAAATATTTTATGTATTATACAACATTAAAACACTGGCTGTTCAAGAAACAGGCAAGTTTTATGTGTTCCACAGCATCTTGAATTCATATGATTATGAGACATAATTATATAAACATGATGAAGGCATCAACAAAAGTATGTGACATTATTTTCATAGCATTCAGTGGATAGATAACTGTGCAAGTAATTTGGATGTCAGTTAAAAATGGTATTGTATTTGTAACATTTTAATATGCAGGAGACTATGTAAGTGAGCATTGTATCAACTGCTGGACATGATTGAACACCATTCACCTGTTTGCTGCTCAAAAGGGCTGGTTATTCACCATTCCTACTCTATATCAGGCTGTCCACAAATTACTCAACTTCTTGCATCAAATTATAGCATGTGTCATGTGAAATAAATTTCAACCATTTAACAGAGAATATTGCAAATTATTTTTGTATACTTTAAAATAATTTCTTTGCCAGTCAGTATGTGTGGGTGGTAAAGGAATCAAGATAAAGTTATCCCTGTGCTTAATTAATTAAGCACTATGCCATTAAGACATATGGGGGAGTGGAGGCATAGTTTCAACATTCTTGACGTCTGCAATAGATGGAGGTGAGCGCTCAGCTTTATGCCCCAGCCACCATACCCCCAAGAAAATTGCTCCCAGTGCCCATTGAGCAGGAGGCTGGATTGACCCCAGAGCCCATCTGGATGCTATGGAGAGAAAAAATCACTTGCCCCTGCTGAGATTCAAACCCTGACCATCCAGCCCATAACCCCATCACTATACCAACTGAACTATCCTGACTCTTTTATGTGTGGTTGGTACCAAAATAAATGAATGCCCAACTATTGAAGGTGGGGCGACAATGAATTAGAATGTTTCTTTTTCAGTACACAAAGAATGATCAGGTGTTTGAAGCCATCCTGTCACTATTGTGAACTCCGGAATAATATCTTTCACCTCTACTGAAAATTCCAATTGCAATATATTCCTAATGTAAGATGCCACCACACAAGCCAACAATAAGTATAAGCAAGCATTCTTCTAGCTGTTACAGAAACCACCCCTTATCTGTCTTATAAGAGGATGTGAAGGTTTGGCACCAGGTGATAACACACTGGATCAGCTAACATGAGTTGGCATTTCCCCTCCTTCCTTGGAGACACTGCAGATATAATTTCTACTTCACATGGTGGATAATATTCAAGAGTCAGTCTTACAGTATGACAACCAGACCAAACTTGAGAACATTCAGTCAGGGCTGTCACAAGTGTAAATGATACCACAGACTGAGAGAAATTCCACCCCCCACCCCCACCCTCCAATTTTCTTAGAACTTCATCGGAATTAATAACACACAACTCCCAGATACTGTAATAAGAACCACCATGGGTGATATAATTCTTAAAACAAGAGTCACAGGAACAGTTACTACAATATAGTTATCATCTTGTTAAAGCTGTCATTGTGTCACTGTCAGTTTGAGATTACATATTTAGAAAACAATGTTAGTGCTTGGTGTCCACAATTATATTTACATTGTAAATGTTCAGATCACTGCCAGTTAATGATTGTATTGTGAACAAAATGCAGCAGAAATTAAGCTTCATTTAACAAAAAACCAAAATGTAAGGGAACAATGTGCCTCCATAATCAGCTGTTTGGTTCAACAATGGTGTTGCTCCAGCTTGGCCTACCCTTTCCTTACGACTCTACATAGTATTAAACATAGAATAATCAATATTTGAAACAATATATTTATATCGGCAGTAAGTGAGCATCAAGGCCTGCATGGTATGAAAAAAAATAACTACTTAATTCCATGGAGTTGAACATTTCATGAGATGCCAATAGTTGCTTAGCTACTTTATAAAATTCCTAGCATTTTATAGAAGCCAAAAGTTCATTACCACTTAACAGAGGTCATTATTATCTATGCACTGTTTACATTACACGTACATTAAACACAAAAGTACTGTCTAATGCATCCAGTTTTTTAATAAAATAATCATGAAGCCCAGCATGTTTCAGCCATATACTGCCATCTTCAATGGAGGTCCAATTATAAAAAGAAATTTTACATAAGACTTACAAGCATGATTGATAACATATATGCATAAAACATTACTGACATTAAGGTTTGCATAATATAAGAAGCCAATGAACTACAGAAGTGAAATCATGTATTCTGTGGTGTAATTTGGAAGATGGTGCCAGGATCATTCAAATCTCTCTTGGAATCTATTTGACTGTATTCTTAGGTAGTGCACAGTGGTTGAAGGATTTTCAGGAGGCTTGCAAACAACCTCATATTTTTCAGCATTTATTATGACAGAAGATCACTTGTGAGGCCTACACATAATGGGAGGAGACACTGAGTGGATTTTAGGTGAATTGGATGTGAAGAATTGGCTCAGGATAAGATCCAGTGATGGGTTCTTGTTAACATATAATAAGCCCTCAGGTTTCACAAAAGGTAAGAGATTTCATGATTAGCTGAGTGACTACTAGCTTCTCAAAAGAACTACATCCCATACAGTTATCGTTTCTCTGTATGGGTCTATAGTCCTTTGGACCTTGGCTGTTTTTCTGTTTCTTAATCCTGTACACAGTCGGTAGGACTCCTTGGACAGGGGGCCAGCCCATCGCAAGGCTGCTACCTACACACAGAAACAGCACAAACACATCCACGCCTCGAGTGGGATTCAAACTCGTACCCCAGCATTTGAGCTGGCAAAGAAAGTTCATGCCTTAGGTATCCTCACTGATTTGATTCAGACAATGGTGGAAAGTCGTTTGACATTTCCCTTCCATCTATTTTGAGAGACACAGAGTTATAGTTATACTGCACAGCAGTTATCCCTGGTTTTTAGTTAAAAGCCATGCAATGAAGACATGTGGGAAGTGACCTTCTTGCAAGATGAATGACGTAAGAGTTCAGGATACCGAAGAATCCATACTTTTTACAAGTCAAATAATCAAAAGAAGAGATGAAAGTTGCGAAAGATGTAAAGTGTTAAAAAACCAACTTCTCAGTGCCCAAAAGGAACTGAAGACAGCGAAATTAATTATAGATTTACTCCTAGAAGACGTGAAAAATCCGACTGAGGCCGATACTAACCTTATACGAAATAATGAAGATAGATCAAAGTCACCTTTTCATGAAGGAAATTGGACTCAAAAACCAATAAGCTTGCATCCAAACACGTTGGTAAAGTTTAATGACCACAGTGAAATATATTTTGAAACACACAATCGTTTTGATGTCTTATCTAACCTCAATGATGACGCTGAATTAACAAATGCTAGAGGAGCTGCTCCAGATATCACCCATATTGGAGTAAGTCAAATAAGTGTGAACAAATACAAACAAAACGAGGATTCTCATATGATAAATAAAATTCCAGTGATAGTAAATGGTATGGTTATGTCTTGTAATAACAAAGTGCAGATTGGTGATATGTTACCCATTAACAAGAATAAATCAAATCAGAAACAAAATCACAAAGATGAAGCTTGTGGTGCTGCAAAAGAAAAGCCTAGGAAACACAAAGTTTTGTTACTTGGGGATAGTCAAGTAAGAGGTTGTGCAGACCTATTAAGACAGAATTTAAATAGTTTGGTGTCAGTGGTTTAGTAAAGTCGGGTGCTAAAACCATTGATATACTAGCCACTAATATTGAGAAAAACATGTCAGAGAATGATGTTATAGTGGTATATACTGACTCTAATGATATTAGTAAAAACAGTGCAAAAGAAGGCCTAAGTTATATAATTAACTTTGTAAGGAGGAACAGTCATACCAACATCATGGTTATGGAGGTACTACACAGACATGATTTAGTGGACTGGTCATCTGTTAACAAAGAGGTTAAGTCATTCAATAGACATCTAGCCAAAAGGCTGAAATTGTATAAACATGTATCATTTATAAGAGTAAACCTGAATAGGCAGCACTTCACACGACATGGTCTGCACACAAATAGCAAAGGAAAAAGGGAAATGTGTCAGCAGGTAGCAGAATTGATTAAACAGAAGCTCGGAGCAGTAGTTAATGCTATCCCATTAAAATACAAAGAAGACACTGTCCATGATGAGGTTGCAGTAAACCATGGAGGAAAAGAGGAGAAGACATCAGCAGACCCATCTCCCAACAATATGGCAGAATTGGTTCAACAAAAGCTCGGAGCAGTAGTATATGCTCTCCCATTAAAGTACAAAGAAGACACTGTCCACGATGAGGCTGCAGTAAACCATGGGAAAGAAGAGGAGAGGACTTCAGCAGACCCATCTCCCAACTGTATGGCACCATCTACAGGAGCACTCCCATTAAAGTACAAAGAAGACACTGTCCACGATGAGGCTGCAGTAAACCATGGGAAAGAAGAGGAGAGGACTTCAGCAGACACATCTCCCAACTGTATGGCACCATCTACAGGAGCTCAACAACAGGAAGTACGCATGTCAACTAGAAGGAGGAGGCCCCCAGTAAAGTTAAGTAAAGATTTTTTATAGATCAATATAGTGCTGGTACCCTCAAACATATTAATAAAATAAGTACCAATATTAAAATATTTCATCAAAATGTACAAAGTTTAAACAACAAAAGGCTAAGTTTAGAAGTCCTACTAACTGATAAAGCATTAAATTTGGATGTCTTATGCATTACAGAACATTGGTTGAGAGAAGATCAAACTGATTATTATAATTTTAAAAACTATTCCCTTGTTTCAAAATTTTGTAGGAAAAACAAACGGCATGGAGGTTCGTGTATTTATATTAAATCAAATCTAGAAGCAAAGCCCTATAATCTGTTTGAAAGCATGATCCAAGAAGAACACTTCGAGGCCAGTATGGTTGAACTTACCAAGTTTAATACAATTATTATTTGTATCTACAGAACTCCTAATAGTAATATTAACACATTTATTGAAATCCTGGATACTATAATAAATAATATAATAAGCAAAAGGAAGAGCATTATTATTGTAGGTGATTTCAACATAGATTTCTTGGGTAGCAATGTAAATCCTCAATTACAGACAATGTTAAATTCATACGGTCTACAAGCAATAGTTGATGTCCCAACAAGAATAGGACTTAGAAGTCAAACAGCGATAGATCAAATAATATTAAATAAATACTTATGGGATTACAACTTTAAGGTAATTGCAACAGGATTCTCTGATCATTTTGCACAAATATTACAAGTGCAGATGCAGCATATAAATAAAAAGAGGCAAGCTGCAGTTAAAGAAGAATTCAGGACAGTTAGACTTTGTACTGAAGAGAATGTTCAATACCTAAACTACCTATTGGAGGAGGAGTCTTGGGAACTTGTTTTTAGGCAAACTTCAGTTAATGATGCATATAATGAATTTTTAGGTACTTTCCAGTATTATTATAACATAGCTATGCCTAAAAAGTGGGTAAGAACTAATCAACTAGGAAATAAATGGGTTACCTCAGGTATAAGGGTATCAAGCACCAGGCTCAGGTTTCTAAATAGATTAATGAAAGAAAGAAACATATAAGAAGAGGTTAAAAAATATTATTATCGGTATAAGAAAATTTACAACAGAGTAATTAGCGAGGCCAAGAAATTATCTAATAACATACGGATAAATACAGCAGGAAACAAATCTAAAGCTATGTGGGACATAATTAAACAGGAGTTAGGCAAACATAAAAAAGAAACTAGGAATATTGAAATAAATGTAAATGGGACAAATACACAGGATCCAAAAGTCATAGCTAATGTCTTTAATGACTATTATACCAGCATTGCTCACGATATCTTGAATAGAAATCCACTACAAAAAAATATTGAAGTTAATGTCAATGCAAAAAAATATAACAGTGGCAGTATGTTTTTAAATCCAACTACAGAAGTAGAAGTGGCAGGCATAATAAAAAAATTGAATAACAAAAAATCAACCGGTGTAGATGAAATCTCAGATTATATTATTAAGAAGTGTTATCCTAAGATAACACATGCTTTGACATACATAATAAACTTGTCATTCTCAACTGGATATTTTCCAGACCAGTTAAAAATTGCAAAAGTGAAACCATTGTACAAAAAAGGACTTGATACAGAAGTTGGGAATTATAGACCAATTTCGCTGATCTGTTTTCTCAAAAATAATTGAAAAAATCATGCAGACAAGACTCTTATCATTTCTAAAAAACCATAGTATAATTAGTGATAAACAGCATGGCTTCTGTAAAGGGAAATCAACGAATACTGCAATTGCAGAGTTTCTTAAAAGGGTTTATAAATCTGTGGACGAGAGGGAAATAAGTATAGGGTTATTCTTGGATCTGTCAAAAGCATTTGACTTAGTAGATCATAATATTTTGCTTAGAAAAATGGCAGAAATAGGAATACGAGGGGCTGCACAAAATTGGTTTCAATCATATTTAGAAAACAGGGAACAAACAGTGGAAATTACCTATAGACATAAAGAAACTAATGAAATTACTAATTGTCTATCGCAAAAGAAACCAATAAGATATGGTGTTCCACAGGGTTCTGTTCTTGGACCAATGTTATTTTTGATATATATTAACGACCTAGAATCTAGCTTAGAACATGGAAAGCCAACACTTTTTGCAGATGACACTACTATTCTTATAACAGGAAATAGTATAGACAGTGTCCAGAGTAAAGTAGAGGAAACAGTAAAAAAACTTTCAGAATGGTTTGAAAGGAACAGATTAATCATTAATAAAGAGAAGACAATAGCAATATCCTTTCACCAGCTTCAAAATCTACATTTTCAATGCCCTCCAATAAAGTTTCATGATACATCCATTAAATATTCAGAATATTCAAAATTTCTGGGAGTTTGGCTAGATAAGAATTTAAGGTGGTCTATGCACACCCAGGAACTAGCAAAAAAGTTATGTAAAATATGCTTTGGTCTAAGAGTAGTAAAAAGAGTATCAGGGCTGGAGTCTGTTAGGACTCTATATTATGCCTACTTTCATTCTTTGTTATCATATGGAATATTATTTTGGGGCAACTCACCAAATGCTAAATTGATTTTTAAGTTGCAAAAGAGAGCTATTAGAGCTATGATGCAAATTCAGAAAACTACTAGTTGTAAACAGTATTTTAATTATTTAAATATATTGCCCCTACCATGCTTGTATATTTATGAAACGCTGGTATACACAAAATCAAACTTGAAGACTCTTGCAACCAATTCAGAAATACATTCATATAATACAAGGGGAAAAGATGACCTATATATTGTTTCATGTAATACCAGTTTATGCAAAGACAATTTTATTAATACTGGACTTCGTATGTACAATCATTTACCATATTACATTAAGGAGATACCAGCTCTATACAGATTCAAGAAAGCTTTGAAAAATTTCCTGTTTGATCATTGCTTTTACAGTGTAGACGAATGTCTTACTTCTTTAGAAAAGAGTTCTAGTTAGACTAAATTATATATTCCAAGATTCAAAGAATCAGTTAGCCTCATAGTATTGAATAATACAAGTCATAAGAACGCTTACCGCTCAGTTCATTTATTATTTTTACAGTGTAGGTGAGTATTTTATTTGTTAGAAAAGAGTTTTAGTCAGTCTAAATTATATATACCAAGAATAAATTAGCCTCATAGTGTTGGATAATATAAGTCATGAGAACGCTTACTGCTCAGTTCAATTCTCTCTCCAGGAAATAACACTTCGTGACTGCTTCTGGGAATTATCTGCCTAGTGCCATCTTAAAGAAGATTCAAGACCACAGAAACTGACCACAGACCACTTCAAGATTGCTAAATTATTATAGTCATTTATTATTATATTGTCATATTGAATTGAATGGCCGCGCCACAGCTTAAGTGGTTAGTCGCTGGCTTCCCACCGCTGCGATCTAGTCATGTGGGATTTGTGATGGACAAAGTGGCGCTGGGGCAGGTTTTCCCCGAGTACTTCGGTTTCCCCTGCCAATCCTCATTCCATCAAATCTCCATAGGCATTACCACCAGTAAAGGTACAATAGGACATATGGAGGATTTAAGACCACAGAAACTGTTTTCAAGACTAATTATACTATCTCTGTATTACTATATTATTATTATTATTATTATCATTTATTATAATTTGGCATACTATTTCTGTATTATTATATTCTTATTACTATTTAGTATTAGTATTAATATTAATCTTTGACTTGTCCCATATCATGTATAATATTATTCATGGATGAAATAAAATTGAATTGAAATAAGAGTTTTGTCATTGTTAATCTTGGCACTAGATGGAGGTGGGTGGTAGCCTCATGCACCTGCTGCTTTACCTCCAGAGAAACAACCCTGTCATCCACTGTACAGGAAGCTGGGTGAGCCCCACAGCCAATAGACTTTTTGTATTAACATTTCCCAGTGCATTTTTAAAAAAAATCAAAATTGAAAAAATTAACTCTTAATTAATTAAGCAGCATGCCATGAAGATATATGAAGGAGTGGAGGTATAGCTCCACCATTCTTAACCTCAGTACTAGATTGAGGTGAGTGGTTGGCTCCACGCTCTGGCTGATTTACCCGAAAATAAACTTCCCTTGGTACCCATCCTATAGGAAGATGGGTGAGCCAAAGGGCCGGTGTGAACGTTATGGAGAAGAGTAAATCTCTTGCCCTAGCCAGGGACAGAACCCCAGTTCCTTGGTCCGCCAACCTGCAGCCCAGTTGCTATACCGCCAGCCATGCTGGCCAAAAAATTACAATTTTTACACAAAGTTCACCTCTGTTTCAATACAGATATTTACAACTCTAGGCCGGTCCGTAAAAGCCGTAAAAGCGGCTTAAATATATGTGAAAATAATTCCCCGCAATGAAGAAAATCCTTCGGCGAATATGGTGACACCGTGCAGCTGTTCAGCCGTTTAGTCTTGAAGGTGGATACTAAGATTTTAGAGGAATACGTTGCTCGTATCTTCAAGGACTCTTATATAAGTCATCATAAATTGTTTTAATTTAACCTAACATCCGTCCAGTCCCTCATTATCACGAAATACTCATGAAGTCCTCTTCGCAATGTGAACTCGGGCAAACTGCAGTGCTACTTCCGATGGGCTGAAAACTCCTAGTAATTATTTGCGCTGACGGAAATACTGGTAAAACCCACAAATATTTTGAAAAAAATTGAGTTCATTTTGCCACCCCATTCGAATGTTACACTAAATATTTCAGTCACACCTCCGTTTCCGACCAACAGATTATAACAAACGAAAACTTCGCGCGTTAACAGTTTAGAACTGAAACCACTGAGGCCATATGCATAGGAATTGCCATAAAGAACCCTCTGGCGGAAGAAATGTTATTTGTATGCAGAACTGCACATTCAAGTGGGAAAAGGTAATCTCAATTTGAAAGTGGTGTTGAATGTCTGGAATTTTCTTTCACGCCTTCGAATTTACATGCTCAATACACAAGCATCTAAATGCAGAGCAGTTCACTTGTAAGAACTGATTGATGTTAATTGTTGTGAAGCTCGTTTTAATTATGCATTCAGTAATGTATATTTAGATGTAAAACAGTAGGTGACGTCTTGTTCTGTAATATAGTTATCATTTTGCAGTAAAATTATGATAACACTGAGCTCATGATAAGTTGGAAACACAACGTTTGTAGTCTTTACGAAGTATCTTGATAATGAGGATGAGTTTGCTATTTCATTTTTAGGTTAGATAATATCAGTTTAAGTGCATGTTGGTAGTGTATTGGTTTTCACTTTCCCCTCCAGGAAAATTTATGGTGGAAAGATCAAAATTCCAGTGCCGAGTGGATGGGAGATTTTCCTTTACAGTCTGAATCTGATATGTTTTGCTGGGGTAATACTGTGAACGGAGAGTTGGGGCTTGGTGGTATTGAGGAAGAACATATTTTGTTACCACGGGAACTGAATTTTAACAAAACAACAAACATAAAAGAAGGTGAGTTTAATGGATTATGTACACACACACACACGCGCATATAATAAACCTATGGTACAACAAATGTGGTGCCAGCTCGGAAAGACCAACCATTCCACTCATCAAAGAGTAGACCTCATTTCAGAACACATAAGTGATCTTGGAATGAGCAAAAATGGGCCATGATGGGACTCGAAACAAAGTATGACTGTGTTGGCAAAGACCAACAGCAAATTAGTGCTCTGCTTTCCCTGATTTTGTTAACTATATGGGAATTATCACGTGTATTAGTGACTATAGATGGGGTTTTGATTGGTGAATAGATTTATTAACACCTTACACAATCAACTGTTACAAGCAATACAGCACTATCACTGATTTACACAATTTACAGTGCACTGTTACACACACACACACACACACACACACATACACACTAGTTGGCAATGAAATTAAAAGAGTCTGACAATTTTCTAAATCTCACACTAAGTGTTCACAAGCTGACTTCTAATTCTTTTTCAACTACTGCTTCCCATGGCTATATCCTACCCACAGCTGATTCATTTCTTGTACTCTGTTGTACTCCTACAGCCCTGGTTCCAGAATTTGACTGTCTTATATTTCCTTGGCACGGACCACACAACACAGAAAACCTATGTACCACACAGAAAACCCCCCGTCTTTTGTCAGAATGCAGGTGTATTGGCTTGCTGCCCATTACCGGGCATGGTGCAGACTACATAGAAAACTCCGCTTCTAATCCCCCTTCTGTTGTTGCATGCACTGCCCAGAAATGGGTCTACATGTCACAATATCTTGAACTTCACTTCAGTTCCATTTTTCTATATGCTTTCAGTTGCTTGTGGCAGTTACCACACTGTCATTGTGACACGAAATGGTGAAGTTTATACATGTGGAAGTAATGATCATGGTCAGTTGGGTCATGAGAAACCTTGCAAGAAACCGGGTAAGTATTTATAGACAGTATTTAATTTATTTACTTCATGACCATGGTAGATTTTCTGACTTAAAAAAAAAGTCTTATTTATAAGAAATTGCCAGGGAGCATAGATATAAATGAAACTCACTTATGTACACAATTCCAGAATTTAATTTTGTAACGGTACAGGATGCAAGCCGTAATTGGGTTATTCAACAAGTTGTCAGAACTTTGTTTTCATAAAATTACAAGTCAGTGCTCACAGGAAGAGTTATTTTCTTTGTAAACTGACAAGCATTTGTATTATGTGTACAAAAAAGGTAAAGTTGCCCCTGTTCTTAATTAACCTTTAAGTGCCGAAGTGCCCCGTTTGTGCCAGTCATGAGTAAGGTCGTCGTGGCCAAAGTACCCAGTTTTGGCCACTCAGGCATGTAAACTCCGCTAGGGGAAGCGCGCGCACACGCCGCTAGTAGAAGCGCATGCACAGTCCTAAATATTTATTTTTAAATGTAGTAATTACCAGACAGACTTGAGTAAAACCCTAATAGAGGAATTAAAATAATACCTAACTGAACAACAGCAAATAAAAATATACGTATGAGTTATGCCAAAACTTATCCACGATCCAGTAATTTTATTGCAGATTCTGCAGATAGGTATGTTAAAAATATATTGTAAAATTTGATGTACATACCTTTTTTGTTGTTACCTGCTTGATGTATATACAGTTTCAAATAAAACTACAGTATTCAATTTCACTACGAACGCACACAAAACAGATCGCGCTCTGTATCTCAGCCACGATGCAGCTGTCTGTTCACTCAAACAGAAGGGGCAGTAAGCTTTTGCAGCTCTAACGGAAGGTTTTAGCACTGAAGAAGGGACCCCTCTAGCTTTCTCTTGAATAGCCATTCTTTCATTCTTCTGACCTTCAGTCAAAGATTCGAAAATCCGAAGGGTGTAAGCAGTGCTAGCAGAAGACCAAATGATATTATTGCTTCCATCTGTTTTATGACACCAGGGACTGCTAAAATTTGTCAAGTGTTTCAAACAGAAATGAATTTATAATGCAGAACAACTCTGTGAAGAACTGGGAAACCATTTTTGCAGTATGCATCAAAATTAAAACACAAAAAATTGAAAATAGATTATAATACTTTGTATTAAAAATTTCAAATCTTCCGTTATAATATGCGACACTATGTTCTTTTCGGATATATACACATTTAATTCCATCCATTTATCATAAAAATTGAGCTAGATACAGCATTTTTAAACACAACGCTTAAAATTGATTAATCGCCTAACAGGAATGGACATTTAAACACAAGGGAGCAACGGGCATTTAAACGAGCACCCGCAGCGGGCATTTAAATAAACTCCGGCCAGCTCAAGTTTACCACTATTTCGAAGTCCAGCGTTTAAAGGTTAATAAGCATTCTGCTATGAAAGGGTATGGGGGATTGGATGTATAGATCCATGTTTTCTTGACCTCAGCACTAGCTGGAGGTGAGTGGTCAGCTTCACGCCCCGGCTGCTTTACCCCTGGGGAAAGAGTCCCTGGTACCCATAGGATAGGAGGTTGGGTGGACCCCAGAACCACTCTGGACAACATGGAGGGGAGACAATCATTGGTTTATATTTCCTATTCATACATTTTTCTTTTGTTATATGTGTTATTCATCAGCACATATCATAAGTTGTAAAGGTAAAGTTGTCCCTGTGCTTAACTAATTAAGCACTCCACCATGAAGGTGTATGGGGGAGTGGATGTATAGATCCACATTTTCTTGACCTCAGCACTAGCTGGAGGTAAGTGGTCAGCTTCACACCCTGGCCGCTTTATCCGTGGGGAAAGAGACCCCAGTACCCATTGGATAGGAGGTTGGGTGGAACCCACAGCCAGTCTGTACAACGTGGAGAAGAGAGAATTCTTGACTGTACCAGGCCTCAAGGGAGCCGGGATAGTGCAGTCAGTATAGCAACTGGCTACAGACTGGACGACCAAGGGGCCAGAGTTCAAGTCCCAGTAAGGTCAAGAATTTTCTCTTCTCCACATTGTCCAGACCAGCTGTGAGGTCCACCCAACCTCTTGGCTAATGGGTACTGATTAAAGTGTAAGATCTGAGTCTTTCATGACAGACTATGAAGACTATTGTCTTCTGGGATGTAGTTCAGTAGGTAGGTACCAATGTTTTTGAGAAATCTGCAGGCTCTCTTTTGAAGGTAGAGTGCAGAGTAAAACTGTCAGTGATAGCGTGAAAGGGTTACATGTACTGGGATTGAGAGAAAGTTAATGGGAACATAATTAAGTAGGAATCTGTGGCCAAGGCCAGTGTGACAGGACAGATAAATCGGCTTCTTGGGGGAGGGGCATTATTTTAANCCCCCCATGCTCTTTATTATATGAGCTGATCTTTGTATCATATTGTGACCATTAATTTGGAAATAATCTAAACATTTATCCAGTGATGTAAATAAAAATATTCATGAATTATGACACTAATGACCATTTTTTGTTAAAATGTCTGGAAATTTTTTACCATGAAGTGACAAGAGTTTTGAGGAAGTTGATACATTTCTATCTGGAGTGACTGGGATATTTAGCCATATGCCACTCCTGCCTGTAGTTTCTTAGAGGCCTGAAGATTGGAAGAAGACGGTAACGTGAAGTAAGGAAAAGAGTAAAGACATGATAAATGAAATAAATTAAAGTGAAATAAAACATAACTAATAAAAATGGAAGAAGGAAATCTTGCTAGGTAAAGGAGGCAAAAAGACAAAATGAAACTGTACAAATTAAAAATAAGGATAAAATAAAAGTACTGAAGGGAACAAAATATACAGGAAAAGAATAGGTAGAAGGGAAGGAAGAGGAACAGAAGCCCACAGGAGGCACTGGAAAGGGCAGTTGATCCAGAAACCGTGTTGCATATGTTATTTTCATTTCTACATGGATTGAATGATAAGTAAGAATCAGTGTTCAATCTAACCCTGCTTTATTAAGACTAACTGGTTTAGTCTCATTAGGAATATTAAATCTCTTGAGAACATTGTTCAAATATTGAGTTTGGGTCAACCTTATAGTTTTCTTTGCCCTATCTCTGTTCACTGCCATTCCTAGACATTAACCGGTCCCAAATCCTTGACTTTAAAACACTGTTGCAATTTTCTTTTTAAATTCTCAATTTCAACATTGTCGTTATGAAATACGAAGAAGTCGTCAACATACAATGCTATATTAATTATAGAATTACCCTTTTGTTTGGTATAAATACATGGTTCAGAACAACTTTGCTTATACCCTAGGCTTTTCAGAACCTCTGTTGTTTTCTTATTCAATGACCTAGTGGCTTGTTTTAGTCTGTAAACTGTTTTTTTTAACTTGCAAACTTTATTAGACTACCCCTGTTTTGCAAAACAGTCTTATTTCTGGTCATATGGTGTGAAGCACCAGAGTCTATTACCCAAGCATCATCCTTAATTTTAACATGATAGGCAGATACCACATACATGGATTTTTTACTGTTCTAATTTTTCCATTTATTTTCATTATACCTTTGATCGGATCCTCCTTTATTGTCATCAGTACTATTAACTGATTCAGAAGACTGTTTGCCCTTAAATTTTTGGTTGTGTTGATTGTTGTGATTATTATTCTTTGCCTTATCCTTATCTTTAAACCAACAGTTTTTGTTTATATGGCCTAGCTTACCATAAATTTGTCTCCGAAACGTTGTAGTTTTTTGTCTTATATATACCAGACAATGGATAAATTCAAAGTAACCCTTATAGTTCAGTAGAGCATACACCATCGTCAGAATCCTTTCAAGTCTATATGTATGGAAGTATTTTACTGAAATTCATGCTTTTATATATGTATAATCAGAGATGCTGACTGTGTAATTAGATAAGCTACAGCTATACTAAATAATCATTTGCCTGCTATGTCTTTTTCTTCTTCTTGTTCATTACAGGAAAGGTGGATAGTTTATCACAGTACCTGATAATAAGAGCATCATGTGGGGCTTGTCATACTCTGACAATTAGCGAATGGGGTCAAGTCTTCGGCTGGGGTTCTGATTCACATGGGCAGCTGGGTAAGTTAAGGTCATTCAGGGCTGGAATTAAATGTGTTCATACTCTGAGCTGTGTGAAGCTTGAGGTAACTCGTAAGAAATAAGAAATGTATGTAATATTTTACTGGGAAATAACCTGGGGCTTAAGCTTGTTCATGATCATGATGAAGCTGCAACAAGAAACTGATAATTGAACTAAATATGACAAGTTATTTATAATTTCTTTGTCATTTATTTTACCATAATGTGAACAATTAAGAGCTTTAAAAATATATAAAACAAAGACATTCATTTACTTTAAAGAGGCCATTGTGATATATGGCCTCAAGCTATAGGATATTCATGATTCTGGAATTAGACTGGTGTGAATATATATATATATATATATATATATATTGTCACATGTAGGGTGGTATGCAAGATGAGAATGGCGAGTTCTAGTTCAGATGGTTGGATTTATTAACACTTTGGTTACAGCCGCTCTTACCCACATTCAGTACAGCTCCAGTACTTAGAGCTGACAGTCCTCCGACGCGGAGTAGGAGAAGTATTGGTAGTGGCGGGGGATCAAGTACAGGCGTTCTCAAAAGGAAACAACTTCTTACCTAATTGTGTTGCATAGTGATGGTGGTTTATTTCCTTGATGTTCAGACATCCGATGTTAAGTTTTAAGTGCCTAATGGCAGACTATTATGCACTATACACTATTATACACTTTTCACCATTATATACATGAAGAGTTTATTTACATATTACACGGGTCTATTCTAAAGGGGCAACACCGGCAATGTCCACATAGATATCATCTCCACATGCCTGTCCTTCCTCATTGTAATGCCGCTAAGGTTACGTACATGTAGATATAGTTTTGGGGTAAAATTGGAATAATAGTAGTTAGACTATAAGATTAAGAAGTAGCCGTGATGAAACGGCCCAGGAAGTTTAGGTCTACAAAGAATTGTAACAGGGAATGCCTGAGTAATTAGAATGCTAACCCGGCAGTGTAATAGCGCTGA